ATATAAAATGTCAATGAATTATAGTGACAAAGAACGGGTTATTAAACCATCGGGATTTGATGTATCTTCTCTGCTGATGCACAAAACTTAATTACATGCAGTGTAACAAGGGGTATCTCATCTATGAGCTGCATTTGGGCATTGGCTGAATCTGGGTAACCAGGATATCTACTCATTAATGAAGGCAGATATACCTGCAGGATGTCTACTCATCATAGGTAGTTTGGATCAGGTCAAGATGACTCTGTAGAAGGGGCAAAGAAGAATAGCATATTTTGCAGTTCTGGAGAGATCATGTAGCAACTGCCTTACACACCTGCAGTGTGATTTTTAGGAAAAGACACATTGTTAGAATGCACTAGGTGAGCATACCCGGGTAATTAGATTTATTTATTTGCATTCAATCCAAAGTGAAGCTATCTGGAAGACATTTGGAGAAAACCTGGAGTGGAACTAATTAGAGTCCCATGCAAAAATGACAAAATATGCTGTCACATTAGCAGATCATCCCTTTCACGCTTGGATTATGATACCACACGCAAATATGTAGATGACTGTTGTGGTTAGCTGGCAGCAGGTACCGACGGCTGAGGAGAGCAAGGACTCGGATGAGGGGCCAGGACCATTAGGGACTGGACTACTGCCTTCGGAGATTGTGGGGGCTGGCAGAAGTGATGAGGAGGTTCCCGAGGAGCCTGTGCCAAATGCGTGTGTGCACAGGGCTGCTCACAGGAAAGAGCAGTTACAACAGCATGGGCGACTCGGGGGTAAGGCTGCAAGGTAATTGCCCCTCCTTCAAGAAGATAAAAGCCAGCTGTGAATGAACGTACTTTGCAGAAGGCAAAGACATTTTGAAACTCCAGCCTCATGGACATTCCAGTATCCTGAGTTTGTATTTGAAGATTCTTGTATTGCAAATTATTTCTTGTCTGTTATCTTTTGGCAAGGCTTGCACAGTTTGGCAAGGCTTGTGCTTATCACAGCTAGTTATTTTGCAAAAGCATTACAAGGTTTCTGTTCTATTTGGATTGTGTTTGATTTGTTGGAAAAGGGCGTGGGTCAGACAGAGTTTCTGTTGCAATAACGCAATGTGTGTTTCATCACTCGCCTCCATATATCCCTCTTGCAGGTACCATTATATAACTGTGCCATTCCCTCAATACAATCCCTTCTCCGTGTTAAGAGATAAATGTGACTTATCTCTCCGGGAGGTGAGAGAAAAGCAGTAACGATTCAGTTCTTTGCAGATGAAATATGTCCTCAGGATTATCCTGACTCACATTTGAAAAAACAAACTAATTGTTCCTGTTCATTTCAGAATAATCACTTCTCGGACTTTGTCGATAAGCAGACTGGTTACACGACCAACAATATGCTCACCATTCCCATTTTGCAGGGCAAGGAAGTTCTCGCTGTTTTCATGGCACTTAATAAACAAAATGCCTCTGAGTTCTCTAAAGAGGATGAAGATGTAAGTACGGATTGCTTCTTCAAGAAAATAGAATAGAATAACAGCATTGGAAGGGACCTTGGAGGTCTTCTAGTCCAACCCCCTGTCTAGGCAGGAAACCCTACACCACTTCAAAAATAGCGCTTTGCTTAATCTCACCTCTTTCGTTGAGCAGCTTGAGTCCATTTTACATTTTAGCATTGTTGAAGCCTAACATGGGCTCCATGGATTTCTTATGCACATCGGAGGAGAAACTTTAAGCAGAAAGAAGTATATTTCAGCTAAATGTATTCACAGTAGATGCCACTTGCCTACCAGAGGTGTCTGCAAGGGGGAACAGGGGAGCACTGAAAAGTTAAGAGGAAGCCTTCAACTGTGTGATTCCAGCCCTGCCTTTTTAAATATGTTGTTCTGCATGTGGTGCACATAAACAAGAAAAGGGCATCAATCCAACAATCATGGCTCCCATCTTGAATTTTGCTTTCACTATGGATGCCCCCGAAAAAATGGCTAGGCCGTCTTTTTGGGGGTGACTTAATCCCCCCCCCTTGCATCATCGGGTGGGCGGGCAGCAACAGCTTGGATGTTGACCTCGGCGTTGGTGGGGCACTTCGTATCGGGAGACCTTCCGCCACCGTTGCTTTCCCTTCTCCCTTGCTGCCGCGGCGTTTAGAGCAAGGCCGTGGCATTTGGCACAGCCACGTGCGGCCAGCCAGGGCTCCTCCCTGCAACCGGGGCCCAGCGGAGACACTCGGCTTCAGGCGCTCCTGTCGCCGCCTTCCCTTTGCCTTCGAAGGTAAAGCCAATTATTTTAAAAATGACACCCTACTACAACAAAGCCTCCCCTGCCCGAGAGGGGAGGCGAATCTCCCGGGGCCGCAGCACAGGATCAGCCCACCTCGGGAGAAGCGCCCAGCCGCCATCCCTGCCAGGCGCTGGGCAGAGCACGAACAGCTTCGCCTGGGGCGCCCAGCACAGGTGACAGGCGGGCCCTCCTTCCCGGCAGCAGAGTTCTCACCAAGGCAGCGAGTGCCTCCCCGCCGGACCCTCCGCTCATCCCGCCAGGGCCGCGCCAGAGCCATGAGGGCTGGGAAGAGCCAAGAAAGCGAGCCATGGGTGGGCGCCTGCCTGCCAAGCAAAAGAGCTGGGCTGACCTGAGCTTGGCTTCCTTCCCAAGTCCCTCCAGCATGAACCCGAAGGGGCCACCGGGAGAGGCTGCCCGAGGCAGTGATAGCGCCCACCCAAGGTGATGGCAGCGCTGCTTCCCTGGCCGGTGGAGAGAGCCCGAAGCCACCCATCCTTTCCACCCCTCGCCCAGCCCATCTCCGTCCCCACGCATCTCCAAATGCACCGGCAGCTCCAAACGCTGCAGCGGAACGGGCATCAGACAGAGGCACTGACTCGGTGGGGCTCAGCTCAGAGGAGGACGCAGCGCAGGCCATCGCCTTGCCTCCCTGTCCATGGATGGGTGGGCGCTATCACTGCCTCGGGCGGCCTCTCCCAGTGGCCCCTTTGGGTTTGGGCTGGAGGGACTTGGGAAGGAAGCCAAGCTTGGGTCGGCCCAGCTCTTTCACTTGGCAGGTGGGTGCATACCCGCGGCTCACTTTCCCAGCTCTGCCCAGCCCACACGGCTCCGGCGCAGCCCTGGTGGGATGAGCGGAGGGCCCAGCGGGGAGGCGCTCGCTGCCTTGGCGAGAGCTCCGCTGCTGGCAGGAGGGCCTGCCTGTCAGCAGCACTGGGTGCCCCAGGCTCTTCACGCTCTGCCCAGCGCCAGGCAGGGATGGGTGAGTGTTTCTCCCGGGGTGGGCCGATCCTGCGCTGTGGCCCCGGGAGATTCGCCTCCCCACGTGGGGTTGGGCTGCCCTCTTGGGCAGGGGAGGCTTTGTCATACCAGTAGTAGGGTGTCGTTTTTAAAAGAATTGGTTTTGCCTTTGAAGGCGAAGGGAAGGCGGTGACAGGAGTGCCTGAAGCCGAGTGTCTCCGCCAGGCTCCGGTTGCAGGGAGGAGCCCTGGCTGGCTGCGCGTGGCTGCGCCAAACACCTCAGCATTGCTCTAAACGCCGTGGCAGCAAGGGAGAAGGGAAAGCAATGGTGGAGGAAGCTCTCCTGATACGAAGTCAACGCCGAAGTCAACGCGGGCAGCACCATATCCGGGTATGCAACAAAAGTACTTCCTAACGGCAAGCCCCCCCCCGCCATTCTCCCCCATTTTGCATGTTTAATATAGGCCTTAATTTGGGGGGAGGGGCTTAATTTGATTTTATGCCGATAAAACATGCTGGGCCTTCCTATTGGTGGAGGCCGTATTGTTGGAGAAACACGGTAGTTGTTATTAACTTACTGTTATTTTAGCATTATTTACTTCTACTATGATTATTTCAAGAGCAGAATATATGATAGCACTAGAGTTAGCAGGAGCATTTTTTTTTACCCTGTTTTTTTTCTCTGATGCTAAAACTTGGTGTGTCAAGCAGCATTCCCTCAAGGTGTAACTTGTATCTTAGCACTTGTGTCCCCCCAAAAAAAGAAGAAAAAGTTGAAAATCCTAATTTGAGTGATGACTTTAAGAGTCGCTGGGAGCCAAATTAAAAAAAAAAAAAGCTTGCCCCCTCCATCTGGCCCAAGTGTCAAGTGCAAAAGACTCCATCCATATGGGAAGGTTCAATGTAATTGATTTGTTGCTAGCGGCCTGTACACAAGAATCTTTTCAACTAATAGTCCGTACTTTGGTTTGAGTTAGGTAAGGCTCACTGTCCCTCAAGGGTAGGGGGTTGGACTTAATTCATTTGTTGTTGCGTAGTGATTCTAGGCTGATCCTTCTTTTCACCTCCCGCTGGTTCTACCAATCCTTCTACACCAAGACCTGATCGCCTTCTGTCTGAAGGCCAAATTCTTCCAGTAAGAGTCAGGCAACCATGAGGTTAACTTCCCTACTATCTCATTATCTAGCTGCTATCGTCTATTTATTAAATTTATTTGCCACCCATCTCGCTCTCATGGAATTGCAACTGCATAAATTTGGTCTCAGCTTTGACAACTTAAAAATGTATGGACTTAAACCCCCCCAGCCAGGTTGGTTAGGAAATTCTGAAAATTGAAGTTCACATATTTTGAAGTCACCAAGGTTGAGAAAACACTGATAGCATCCAATAATTTGTTGTACATTTCTTTCTTTCTTTCTTTCTTGCAGGTCTTTAATAAATATATTCAGTTTCTTTCACTTGCTGTGAAACAATACCACGTTACATACCTGTATAATGTTGAACTTAGAAAGAGTCAGGTAAATGATTATTATCTACTTTAATAGCCAATTAACTGCAATTATTTTGTATGGTTAGTTTGGCTTTATCTTTTCTCTTGCCAAGAGATGCCAAGAGGCCTCTGTTCGATAACTATGTTAGTTCCAAACAGCCTATTATGTCATAGGCTTTACCAGATAATGTCACAAATATCTTGAATGTTTGAACAGACGTCATCATGCTTTTTTCTATCACGCATTAGCCACATATTAAAATACTATCCCCCATCCCATCCTGCCTTCTCTTCAATAGATACTTTTATGGTCTGCCAACAAAGTATTTGAAGAACTTACAGATATTGAGCGACAGTTTCACAAAGCCATGTACACTGTTCGACAACATTTAAACTGCGAAAGATATTCCATTGGTTTGCTGGATATGACCAAAGAGAAGGTCAGTATAATTTTATTTATCACCATAAAACTCCTCGTTCCTTGCTTCCAAGGAAAACCTCTTGTCACGCAGAAATAACTGAGCCATAAACAAGCAAACAAAAAAATGAAAAGCATGATATTTGCAAATGAATTCTATTACAATCAATATAGTTTCAGATAAAGTACGTTTAGAATGGAAACATTATTTGTCTTTCAGAAATCTGTTGTTCATGACAAATCTTGCCCACCCTGTTGTTTTAACCAGGGTGGAGTTGTGGGTTCCTTAGTGCTTTCTAACCTTGAATGTATCTATGGAGGTTCTCAGTCATCCAGGTCATGGTGTTTTTTAAAAAATATAAAGGCAATTGACTTTTCTAAGACCTTTCTCTCTTCATCCAACAGCCGGGTGCAGAGATTGAAGCCTCTAACCCAGCTACTCTGGAAGTTAAGGCTAGCAGATTGCTTGAGCTCAGGAGTTCTGGGTTGCAGTGGGCTATGCCGATTGGGTGTCCGGACTAAGTTCGGCATTGATATGGTGATCCTCGGGGAGCCGAGGGCACCAGGTTGCCATAAAGTTTCTTCAGTTCTGAACTGAAGAAGTTTATTGGACGAGAAGCAAAATTTATTAAAGAAAAATCAGAAAATCTTTGAGCTTGGGGGTTTTCTTGCAGACATTTCATTACCAGACTACATAACATCATCAGCTCATGGTAATATCGGTAGTGCTAATGTTACTAGCCTGGTAATGAAACATCTGCAAGAAAACTACCAAACTCAAAGAGCACCGAGGACCCCGCTGTTTGAACCATATTAAGTGCTGTCCTGCCTGGTCCAAAGATTCTGATAAGGGGCTCAAAAATAGGCTACAGAATGAGAAAAGCTCTGTCCTCCTTTTACATGCATTGGGTATACAATGCACAAGAGACGGGATTTCCATTTCATAATAGCCCCAGATGTTATTCTCAGTCATTTGACAAGAGTCCAGAGAGGAAACCAAATCCATGAGTACTAACACTGTTTTTATTGTAAGGTTACAGTCACAGAATCTTGGTGTCTGGAAGCTTTCTGCACCTCCATTCCTTCTGCAGGTTGAAATTTCTCTTGTGTCCGACCAATGCCCTGGCTGCAGCTCTTCCCTCTGTCTCCCAAGGTTGTTCTTGCCACCCAGCGCATTTGTCTTGTCCTTCCCTGTGGACGCTGCTGTGTACTGAGCTTATAGTATACATGGCTGAGTTTTCTAGGATTTAGGCAACCTATCGGAAACAGATTTTTTTCTTCTCCGATGGCCAAGGATGAGAATTGAAGTCCAAAATACTGTATATGGAGAAACATCAGGTGTTTAGAAGCTCCTTTTATTCAGGAGCCCCTTCAATAATATGTAATTATTTCCAGGAATTTTATGATGAATGGCCAATTAAATTGGGAGAAGCAGAGCCTTACAAAGGACCAAAGACCCCTGATGGTCGGGTGAGTAGACATATTTCATCTGTCCAAATTACAATTTGTGGAATGTTGTGGAATGTTGATCTGTCAAGGACCTTGGAGTACTCATCTCTAATGATCTAAGTGCTAGAGCCTACTGTAACTACATAGCCAAAAAGGCATTAAGAGTTGTTAACCTAATCCTGCATAGCTTTTTCTCAGGCAATATCACACTACTAACTAGAGCATACAAAACATTTGCTAGACCAATACTTGAATACAGCTCATCAGTCTGGAACCTCCATTACGTAACTGATATTAATACAGTTGACAAAGTCCAGAAATATTTCACAAGAAGAGTTCTCCACTCCTCTACTCATTGCAGAATACCTTATGCCACCAGACTTGAAATTTTAGACCTAGAAAACCTAGAACTACGCCGCCTTCGGTCCGATCTAAGTATAGTACATAAAATTATATATTGCAATGTCCTACCTGTCAATGAATACTTCAGCTTCAACCATAACAATACAAGATTACACAATAGATACAAACTCAAACTAAACCGCACCAAACTTGATTTCAGGAAATATGACTTTAGCAACAGAGTGGTCAATGTCTGGAATACTCTCCCTGACTCTGTGGTTTCTTCCCCAAACCCCAAAAACTTTAACCTTATACTGTCTACTATTGACCTCACCCCTTTCCTAAGAGGTCTGTAGGGGGCGTGCATAAGCGCATCAACATGCCTACCGTCCCTGTCCTACTGTTTTTTTTCTTATATGTATCCATTTCATGTATTCATAACTATGTTTATACTTATACCTGTTATCTTATAATCGCTTGACAAATAAATAAATAAATGCATAATTAATTAATTAATTAATTAATTGTTGTAAGATTCTTGTATTGCTTTTCCTCCCTTGTGTTTAGGAAATTAACTTCTATAAGATTATCGATTATTTTCTACATGGAGAAGAACAAATCCAAGTAATTCCGTAAGTGCTTCTTATTAGGTGCTCAGATAGTAAATGGCTGTAGGAGTTCATGGTTTAATATGAAATGATGGGTTTTTTTTAATCTCGTTCTCTGTCTTAAGGTCACCTCCTGCAGATCACTGGTGTCTTGTCAGTGGCTTACCAACTTACGTTGCTGTAAATGGATTTGTAAGTTCGCCATGTTACTTCCCTACAATTCTTTCTGGGGCTATGTGCTGGCTATGTGTGCTTTATGTGTAAATCTACACGTTCACATTGGAACTAATCATTTTCATTTCACAATCTTGTACATGGGAAGGAAGAACATTGTGATACAATTATTTGCGAGCCTCTTTTACCTCATCTGCGGTTAAGCTGTTTAACTGTGATCAAATTAATTCAAATTTTTTTTTTACTACCGGTTCTGTGGGCGTGGCTTGGTGGGCGTGGCAGGGGAAGGATGCTGTAAAATCTCCAGTCAGAGGTGGGTATTTGCCAGTTCTCTGAGCTATTCAAAATTTCCGCTACTGGTTCTCAAGAACTGGTCAGAACCTGCTGAATACCCACCTCTGTTCCAGAGCCCGGGGAGGCTGTTTTCGCCCTCCCAGAGGTTCGAGTAAAGCCTCTGGAGCCTGGGGAGGGCAAAAATACCCACCCACCCCGCCGCCATGGTGGAGGAGGCTGACTAGATTCACCCACCATGGCCGCTGCCAGCAACTGGGCAGAGAACCCATTGCAAAAAGTTTTGAAGCCGACCCCTGGGGCAAACCATATCAAGACATGGAGTATGGAACTGCGAAACCATGTCGTGAGTACATTTTGGGAAGTCCATTGTACTTCGAATGGTTGCTAAGCAACTAATTGTAAATTGAGGACTATCTGTATTGCTTTGTAGACAGGCCATATTGGCAATAACATTTTAGTTCAAAAATTCTGAACGACCCTAAGGCATTGGAGACTTATTTAGGCTAAAAGGTAGGCTTGACCATTATGGTACACTATTATTTTTCAAGTAAAGGTGTACTCGGCTTACAACAGTTCACTTAGTGATGGTTCAAAGTTACAACAGCACTGAAAAAAGTGACTTATGACCATTTTTCACACTTACGACCATTTCAGGGTCCCTCACGGTCACACGACTGACGTTCGGATGCTTGACAAACGACTCACGTTTATGACGGTAGCACTGTCACGTGATTCGCTTTTGTGGCCTTCTGACAAACAAAGTCAATAGGGAAGCCAGATTCACTTAACAACTGTTTGTCTAATTTAAGAACTGCAGTGATTCTGTTGTGGTTAGCTGGCAGCAGGTGCGGACGGCTGAAGAGAGCAAGGACTCAGATGAGGGGCCAGGACCATTAGGGAATGGACTGCTGCCTTTGGAGATTGTGGGGGCTGGCAGCAGCGATGAGGAGGTTCCCGAGGAGCCTGTGCCAAGTGCGCATGCGCGCAGGGCTGCTTGCTGGAAAGAGCAGTTGCAGCAGCACGGGTGACTCGGGAGTAAGGCTGCAAGGTAATGGCCCCTCCTTCAAGAAGATAAAAGCCAGCTGTGAAGAGAACATTCTTTGCAGGAAGCAAAGACGTTTTGAAACTCAGCCTCGTGGACATTACAGTATCTTAAGTTGGTATTTGAAGAATGTTGTGTTGTGAAATATTTCTTATCTGTGATTCTTGGCAGTCTCATACAGTTTTGGCAAGGTTTGTGTTTATCAAAGTTAATGAGTTTGCAGCAGCCTTTTAACTGGGGATTCATAACACTTATTCAAAGGTTTATGTTCCCTTTGGTTATTGTTTGTCTTATTGGACAAGGGTTTGGGTCAGAACAGTTTCATTTAACAAATGTGGAAAGGAAAGTTGTAAAATGGGGCAAAAACAATCACTTAACAAAGGTCTCACTTAGCAACATGGATTTTGGGCTCAATGGTGGTCATAAGTTGAGGACTACCTGTATCATTATCCACTTTCAGGTGAACTGGAAAATGGCAAATGGGTTTTTTTTCCCAATTTGGAAAGCACAATCCCATTCACTGAATTCTATTGTTCTGACCAAGGCTTCCAGAGACCGTAATTAAGCACATGCTTAGTTAAAACAACTCTTGGTTTATTTCAACGCTGGGAATTATGTTCACTCCTAGCCAGTAATGAGTCCCAAACAGTCCCTTCGAGATAAGCACTCACCTTTCTTTCCTTTGAATTGCTGCCAACAACTAGAGTGCCAAATGAATTATAAAAAAACCAACCGAAGTACAAAGTCCACACAGAGCTTCAAGGTTTAATCTGGACAGAATGAACAACTTTGCTTCCTACAAAGGTTTCTTTACCTTTACATGTCCTTTATACGTTATAGGAGGGGCAATCATCTCCAAGCCTTACTCCCGAGTCGCCTCTTTTGTCTTAGCTGCTCTTGCCTTCTAGCAGTTCTGTGCATACATTCACTGGGATCAGGCTCCCCTAGGTCCTCGGCCTCGCTGCTGCCAGACTCCAGAGGCTCCAGAGGCAGCACCCCACTCCCAGATGGTCCTGGCCCCATCTCTGCATTGGACGCAGGACCCTCGTCTGAGTCCTCTCCAGACTCCCTGGACTGATCCCCGTTCTTCCCCACTGTCCAATTCCACTGCCCTCTGCACAGGCTGCCAGGTGAACCACAACATCTGTAGGCAAAGTGTGCTCATTGGTTCCCTTCCAGCATTCCCTACAGTTCACATGACTTCCAACTTTTTCTTTCATATCATCAGCTAATTAATAAATACCTGTTAAGAAAGGTAAGATGGAAAAAGAGTACAGGTAGTCCTTGACTTAGGACTACAATTGAACCCAAAATTTATGTTGCTAAGCGAGACATTTCTTAAGGGAATTTTGCCCCATTTTATGACCTTTCTGACCACAGTTGTTAAGTGAATCATTGCCGCTGTTAAGGGAGCAACACAGTTGTTCAGGGAATCTGGCTCCCCCATGGACTCGGCTTGTCAGAAGGTTGCAAAAGGTGAACACATGACCCTGAGACACTGCAACCGTCGTAAATATGAATCAGTTGCCAAGCATCTGAACTTTGATCATGTGATTATGGCATGGGGATGCAGCAATGGTCTTAAGTATGCAAAATGGTCACAAGTCACGTTTTTCCAAGTTACAAGTTTTCTTGTAACTTCAAGTGGTCCACTAAACGAACTGTTGTAAGTCAAAGACTAACTGTACAATGCCTTTTTGAAAGGTAGCAATGGGACCCCCCTTCCTGAGCACCTGTGCCTGATTAGTGGTCATGAATGCCAATATTTATAGGTAGGAACTACTGTAATCTTTATTGTTTATTTTCTCCCCTAGATTTGTAATATGATGAATCCAGCAGCTGACGAATACTTCACGTTTCAGGTAGTGCCATTTGTACTGGCTCAACAAGCCAACAAGCAAATAGATGAAAGCATTCATTCTTATTTTGTATACTTTGACCCTATGCCTTTATCCTAGGTACCGTGTTTCTCCAACAATACGACCTCCCCCAATAGGAAGACCCAGCATGTTTTCTAGGCATAAAATGAAATTAAGCCCCTCCACCCAAATTTAGGCCTATTTTAAAACATGCAAAATGGGAGGAAGGGCAGGGGGACTTGCCGTTAGAAGCGCCCCATGGGCAGCAATTCCTCGCCACCAGCTGCTCCTAATGGGCAATCATGGCAGAGTGCGGAGAACTCCCTACTCCTGCCAAGCACCTTTGCTGTAGATCCAAGACCTTCAGCGCCCGCCGCTGTTGATTTCCCTTCTGCCCATGCCGCCGCCGCGTTTGGAGCTGCCACTTCTACGTTTGGAGCACCACTGCTGTTTGGAGCACCGCTGCCGTTTGGAGCTGCCGCTTCTGCATTTGGAGCTGCCGCTGTGTTTGGAGCTGCCGCTTCTGCGTTTGGAACACCACCGCTGCTTGGAGCACTGCCGCTGTTTGGAGTTGCCATGTCCGCATTTGGAGCTGCCGCTGCATTTGGAGCTGCCGCTTCCGCGTTTGGAGCACTGCCGTTGTTTGGAGCACCACCGCCATTTGGAGTGCTGCCGCCACTCCAAACACGGAAGTGGCAGCTCCAAACGTGACTGCGGTGCTCCAAATGGCAGCAGCACTCCAAATGGCAGCGGCACTCCAAACACGGCAGCTCCAAACGTGGCGGTGGAATGGGCAGAAGGGAAAGCAACAGCGGCGGGTGCCAAAGGTCTTGGGTCTGCAGCAAAGGTGTTTGGTGGGAGTAGGGAGCTCTCTGCACTTCGCCATGATCACCCGTTAGGAGCGGCTGGTGGCTTGGCTGCCTGCGGGGCGCTCTAGATGAGGATGCAAGGGGGGGAATTAAGTCACCCCCCCAAAAGACGGCTTAGCCGTTTTTTCGGGGCTCAAAAAAATATAAGACCCAGCCTTATTTTATGAGAAACACGGTACATGCACCATGCATGCTGTGCTGGTCTCCATACATTACTTTTATAGCTTTCTTTTTCCTTTTCCTTTTGTTTAGAGAGAACCTTTGGATGACTCAGGCTGGACCGTCAAAAATGTCTTGTCTTTACCTATTGTAAACAAAAAAGAAGAGATTGTAGGCGTAGCTACCTTTTACAACAGGAAAGATGCCAAACCCTTTGATGAATATGACGAACAGATAACTGAAGTAAGTTCAACGTTGGTGGGTTTTATCAGCTGACAGCAAGGCATTGGAGGAAAAAAAAATAGAACTAATAAGTATGCATGCTTGCTAATGTTTCTATCAGATCCTCTCCACTGCAGTCCGTTAAATAGAATTTACAAGCTGTGGTTTACCTTGCAAGAAAGGAATTAATACCTTGACTGTGTTCTTAGGTACAACTCACTGTTATATAAACATTGATAATAAAGGTGGTGGAATACGCTGTACTAGCTGTTAGTACAGGATATTGGTAAAGGTAAAAAGCAGCATGAAAGTTACCATCCATAACCTCACTATCTGTCAGTCCTGCCTCAGCTTGAACCTCTAAATAAGGACAATCCTTAACTCCATTTATCGGGAAAGGTATAATTTACTGGAAGTCAAGTGATTTACAGTAATGTCTCGTCTACAGCGAGGACTGAAAATCATGTATCAGAAACCCCAGGTCTAACTTTTCCCTCTCTTATTTGCCTCCCATCAGAGGTGGCATTCAGGAGGTTCTGACCAGTTCTGGAGAACCAGTAGTGGAAATTTTGAGTAGTTCGGAGAACCGGCAAATCCCACCTCTGACTGGAGATTTTACAGTATCCTTCCCCTGCCACACCCACAGAACCGGCAGTAAAAAAAATATTGAATCCCACCACTGCCTCCCATCACTGATCCCTCCATGTCCAATCAAATTCAAACAATATGTTTTTAGAACGGTCACTTCCAGTGTAGCTTTGCCTTGCAACAGCTCATCCATTCCCAGCCAATTGTCCTTGAAATTTATCTTGGAAAGATACAGTGAAGTAGTTTCCTTTCCCTTGAAGCATTCCTCCCTCCCATCCGGCCCCCTTTGAGTTCATGACAGCTGATAGTGAATGGATGGATCATCAGCATGTGTGCATGCGTGTGCATGTGTGTGTTTTTGTGTGTGTGTGTGAGAGAGAGAGAGAGAGAGGTGGTGTTCAGCAGGTTCTGACCAGTTCTGGAGAACCGGTAGCGGAAATTTTGAGTAGTTCGGAGAACGGACAAATACCACCTCTGACTGGAGATTTTATAGTATCCTTCCCCTGCCATGCCCATCAAGCCCCGCCCACAGAACCAGTAGTAAAAAAATTTGAATCCCACCACTGGGATGTGTGTGTGTCAAGATAACAGTAGCAACTGGCAATCAACGGCCACCCTTTTTTGTATGTGTAAACATCTGACATACACAAAAGGGTTGAGGCATTGATAATTGTATTGGCCAGCTTGGATTTTTTTGTCACCTTCTCTCCCAGGCATTACTGGTTATTAACTTTTATAGCTCTAAATGGCCTTGTGGGCATGGCATTCCCTACATATCTTTTTCCCATCCTCTACTAATTTCTGCAGCTTCCTGAAGGTAGGTAGGTAGCTACAAAGTTTGGCACTTTCTCTGCGGCTCCACTGACTCTGTGGCATGCTTTCCCAACAAATATTTGAAATGTGATTTTAAGGTCATCACATAAACTTTCATTGCATAATTGTTGCAGGCCACCATGCAAACATCCAAAATTGTGCAATCCATCCCTCTTCTCCCAATCTTTCTGTAGTTTCTTCCTCTCAGCCTGCTCCATTAGGATCCCTACCTTTGAAGTCCTAAAACAGATGAGGTGATCCATTCTCCTAATGGTGTTACTTATGTCTAGTTTAATGAAAATAAGGATTAGGAGTGACATGATATCAGTGTTCCAATATCTCAGGGGTTGCCACAAAGAAGAGGGAGTCAAGCTATTCTCCAAAGCACCTGAAGGCAGGACAAGAAGCAGTGGGTGGAAACTAATCAAGGAGAGAAGCAACATAGAACTAAGGAGAAATTTCCTGATAGTTAGAACAATTAATCAGTGATTAATTAAACAATTTGCCTCCAGAAGTTGTGAATGCTCCAACACTGGAAGTTTTTAAAAAGATGTTGGATAATCATTTGTCTGAAGTGGTATAGGGTTTCTTACCTAGGTAGGGGGTTGGACTAGAAGACCTCCAAGGTCCCTTCCAACTCTGTTATTCTATTCTATTCTTATGCCTACAAAACTGAATAAGATATACATAACATGCCATAATCAGGCAAGACTCCTCTTCAGGCATGTTGACTCCTTCTCCAGCACATATACCTACAGAGAGATGTTCATTGTACACGTGAAAACTTAGATATGATAAAACTTGGAAGATTTGATGTGTAAAGGTTTCTTGATGTGTAACATAATATGAAGCCTAAATGGGGGCTGTGGATTTGATTTAGAGTCAAACTAATAGAATGGTTCATGTCTTTCATTTCTTTCATATGGGGACATTGCTAAAAATTAGCAATATATCATTCAACATCTTTGGAAGTGTTTTTAAGAAAAGCATAAAAGTATTATTGGTTAAGTGCCTTTCCAAAATTTGAAATATGTCGGACAAGTCACACTGAAAAGCTCTACTTCTTTGTCAATTCAGATGCTTACCCAGTTCCTTGGGTGGTCTGTCTTAAATCCTGACACATATGAAAAATTGAATAAGATGGAAAATCGGAAAGATATAGCTCAGGAAATGCTCATGTATCAGACAATAGCGACACCTGCAGAAGTTAAAAGTATATTGGTGAGTGTTCCTTGCACATCCTGGGTGGAAGTATGAAACTTATTGTTGGATGAACCAAACGTAATTGTTTATTTTCTTTGCTCCTTACTTTAAGAAATGCCAAGAAAAATTGAATCAAGAAAATTTTGAAGACTGTAATGAGAAAGAGCTTGCTAAAATTCTGGTAAGTAGCCACATGTTTTCTTAAATGTCAACTTTAAGCCTATACAATCATGGTTCCATACTGCGGAAATATTCTTGGTGATTTATTTATTTATCAGCTAGGAGTTTTTAAATTTTATTTGTTCAACTTGTGCCTGTCGGTTTTACTTGAGGGATAGCTATTTGGACTGAAAGAGAATTTTACACACTTAACAATGAATTAGGATGTAACAGATACCATTATAGGGCAATGTAATCAGAACTGCTACATTTTGGACAGTTGAGTAGATTAATCAAGTTTAATTTCTTTTACCTGTCTTAACTAGAACTACCAATTAAATTTCTGTAACCTCATATCCCAAGTAGGAAGGTGCACTTTTAACCATTGATTTATAATAATAACTTTAAAAAGGTAGGAAGATAACTTGCTTCCCTCGCTCCTATTTGACACTTTGCTCTGCAAGAAATATTTGAGATTGATTATAAATTATAAATAGTAGCCATACAAATCTTTTAAATAAATAAGTATACAAACAAACAAACAAATAAATGCATAGCCACATAGGGCACCAGGATGCCATTTCTACCAATTGTACCAACTGTAGTTCTACCTTGATAAAGGGTGGGCCAACAAATGTTATTAGAACCTTGTTTATCCCCAAGTATTCTAAATTTTAAATTTAATGCCTTGGATCTTTTTTTTTAATTCTTCCTTTCTCATGTTTAAAAGGCAGGATATGAATCATGGTAAGAAACCTATATGACATGGATATAAATGCTTTCATAGAGAGATCTATGGTGCCATGCCACCAATCTTTAATCTCTAAAAAAGTTTGGACCACTACTCTCTAATGGAATAAAGCAGGTGCCTCATTTTATGACTGTCATTTTTCTGAGTGGAACTGATTCATGGCCCTGAGGTATCTCAGAATAAGTATCAGGAACGAGCAGTTGCAAAACGAAACAAGAACTTGGCTTGCTTACACCCATACACTTCTGTTTTCCATAAGTGGATATAGCAGGAATATTAAAGCAGTTGTTGAATTTTTAACCACTTAGGTGAAAGGAAATAAATTGAGAATCATTCCAGAATAGAATTTTGGCAGAATAGAATTACCTACTAGTCTGAATGGGTCATCTTCATTCTGATTTGGATTGGTTTACAAGGATAAGAGTGTTCCTTAAATCATGGTAACATGGAATAGATTGTACCAACAGTATTCACAGGTTATAATTCTTCCTGGGTACAACTAGTTGGCTTCACTAATCTGTGTTAGAGTAACTTCCAGCTGAAAGTAACTTTACCACTTTCTCATGTACTTTGGGATGGAAGGATGCTTCAATTGGCTTTGTAAATGGACGCATTGTTGACTTTGGTATCAGATATTATGAGCCTATGATTCAAACCTGGAGTGATTTCCAGTTCCCAACCCACTGCCAGGTTCCCGTTAGGTACTTTTTTGATTTTTAAAGCCTGGTAGGTAGGTAGGTAAGTAAACACATACACAAACACCACTCAAATATATATTCATATCTTATAATCTACTCCTGGTCCACCTGGTTTCTTTGCCATCTAATTCTCTATATACTTAGAACTGGTTGTTTATCGACTGTTCAAAATTATGATACACCTCCTGTAAAAAAAAAAAAACTGTATTTAAGACCTGGATTCAAAGTTCTGACCATTCCTCCACTCCCATGTTCATGTAGTCACATTTTGGAGACATTCTTATAGTTCTTTACAGTGTCCTGTAGGCATTTGACTGTGATTTCCAATATTTTCTGTAAGAAACTCATATTTACTTCTGGTTTCCAAGCAAAAACACCTCATTGTAGATGATGGTTTTGCTTAATGATCACCACGATTGTTTAATGGTTACCTCATTAATTTAAGGTCTCTAGGCCACCATGTTTGCTTAACATTTGCCGCAAAAAAATGTTGTAACATTAGGTTGGTCAAATTGGGTATCTTGACTTATGAATGTCATGGTATATGACAGAAATTCCATTCTCCACTATAGTTGCAAGTTGAGGAATATCTGTATACAGAACTCTCGTTTTACTAGTGCTATATAATGTTCCATTTTATCCTGTTTTTTCTCTGCCTCGCATCACATTTCAGTGTTTCCTCTCCTTTGGGCTATAAATTGTATGTAATTCACAAATGTATCATAAACAATAAGTAAGAAAACTTCTCAATTCCTAATGTTATCAATTACCTGTAATAGTTACCTAGGGATTCCTCTATTGTTATAAATGGTTACTATTTCTGCCTTTACAAAGTAGACTTTATAACATGTGGGTGTTTAGTTCCCTTTGCCATCTTTCATGATTGCATGGTATTCAAAGTAATATTCTAATCTAGTTGAACCTTTGGGTCCAGAGCATGTCACTCATATATTGGACCTTCCTGTCTAACTCTATTTTGGTAAGTCACAAGATTGATATTGCTCAGGTTGATTGCATAGTAAAACCTCCTGAGCTTAGGATCCATCCAAGGAACGTATTTAAATGTTTCAGTGTCACTGTGAGCTGACTCGATTAAGTCGATTCTAGATTGGCCATTCACTGAATGAAGGCTACATTCCTTCCATTCGCCAACTGGAACAATAGCACCAGTTGAATCTAGAGATCTTGTCAATAGTATGGTTGAATCTAGAGAGCTTGTCAGAACAATGAGCACGCATTTCGTGGCATGCAGACTTTCTTAGGTTATTCAAGAACCAACTGTGACAACACAAAAGTTAGCTTGGTGCCTTTCGCTCATGCTTGTGACATCATGTATTAAAACAGCAGAGTTTGCATTATGATCTGTGTTTCCTCATTTTATACCATCTCACTTTCTTCTGTTGGATTTTCATGAATTGGAGGAGGGGGAATATCTTTTTATATTTCTTTTCCCTTCATTTGAATTCCCATGGTATTCTCGCTTTATACTGCACCAGTAACACCACATCCAGTTTTGGTCAATGTGATAGAAGAAAGATGTTGAGATTCTAGAAAGACTGCAGAGGAGACTGCAACGAAGATGATTTAGGAGTCTGGAGGCTAAACCAAATGAGGAATGGTTGTGGGAATTAATTTATTTTTATTTATTTATTTATTTTGTCAATTGCTTACAAGATAATAGGTATAAGTAAAAACATAGTTATGAATACATGGATACATATAAGAAAAATAAAAAAATAAAAGAAACAATAGGACAGGGAGGGTAGGCACGTTGGTGCACTTATGCACGCCCCCTACAGACCTCTTAGGAAAGGGGTGAGGTCAATAGTAGACAGTCTAAGGTTAAAGTTTTTGGGATTTGGGGAAGAAACCACAGAGTCAGGGAGAGTACTCCAAACATTGACCACTCTGTTGCTGAAGTTGTATTTCCTGCAATCAAGTTTGGTGCTATTAACCTTGAGTTTGTATCTGTTTGCTCTTGTATTGTTATGGTTGAAGCTGAAGTATTCATTGACAGATAGGACACTGCAATGTATGATTTTATATACTATACTTAGATCGGACCAAAGGCGACGTAGTTCTAGGTTTTCTAGGTCTAGAATTTCAAGTCTGGTGGCATAAGGTATTCTGCAACGAGTAGAGGAGTGGAGAACTCTTCTTGTGAAATATTTCTGGACTTTCTCAACTGTGTTAATATCAGATACATAATGTGGGTTCCAGACCAATGAGCTGTATTCAAGTATTGGTCTAGCAAATGTTTTGTAATGCTCTAGTTATTAGTGTAAGATTGCCAGAGAAAAAGCTACGTAAGATTAGGTTAACAACTCTTAACGCTTTTTTGGCTATGTAGTTACAGTGGGCTTTAGCACTTAGATCATTAGAGATGAGTATTCCAAGATCCTTGACAGAGTTTGGATCATCAACAAGGTCTTGACTATTCAGCCTGTATTTTATTTTCTGATTTTTTTTGCCAATATGTAGGACAGAGCATTTATTTGTTGAGATTTCAAGTTGCCATTTGTTTGACCATTCTGATACATAGTCGAGGTCTTTTTGAAGGATAGCAGTATTGTCTGTGGTGTTGAATAGCTTTACATCATCAGCGAAGAGAATGCAGTTGCTTTTGATATGATCACAGAGGTCATTTATGTAGAGTATAAAAACAGTTGGTCCTAGAACACTGCCTTGGGGGACACCACTGTTGATAGGTACAGAATTTGATAGGACGCTCCCAATTTTGACCATTTGTTGTCTGTTTGACAGGAATGCTTCTATCCAGTTATGCAGGTGTCCAGAGATACCGTAAGATTTTAGTTTTAGGAGTAGTTTGTTGTGTACCGCTGAAGCAAAGGCTTTACAGAAGTCTATGTAGATTATGTCTATTGCTTTGCCCTGATGGAGTTGTGTAGTCCATATATTTTTGCAGTGTAAGAGTTGCAGATTACATTATAGTTTTTTCCTGAAACCAAATTGTTTATTAGAGAGTAGATTGTTTGTTTCTAAGTGGAGGATGATGGATTTGTTAATAATTGATTCCATGACTTTACAGGTGACGAAGCATAAAGAGATTGGTCTGTAATTTTCAACTAGGCTGGGGTCTCCCTTTTTGAAGATGGGGATGACTGTTGGCTTGTGACCATAGTTTTGGCAAGGAGCTGGTCCTGAAAGATTTTTCAAAGATTATGCTTAGAGGTTCGGCTATGGCAATGGATAGCTTTTTTAAGAAGTAGGCACATATTCCGTCCGGTCCAATAGAGAGAGATGGTTTTAGATTGCGTAGTGCTTTTTCAACATTGTCTTCTGTAAAATCGATATGTATTAGATCATTGTAGTTGTCTGTGGTTCGACTAGGAAATACTGGGCATGATCCATTGCTGTTTACAAATACTGAATCGAAGAATGTGTTAAAGAAGTTGGCTTTAATAGTGTTGTCGTTGCAGTCTTTACCATTAGGTCCTTTCAGGGGTGGGATGGACCTGGAGTCTTTTAGTTTGTTGTTTACAAAATTGTAGAAAGCGTGGGTGGAATTGGTGTGTAGAAGGTTTTCTTCTTGTTTAATGTGATAATTGGTTCATTCAGTTTTTATCTGGTGGCATAAATTTTTGTATCGGCTTTTGAAGTTGTCAATGTGACCAGATTTGTTTTTTCACCAAAGTGATTTCTTTTTGGATAGAAACTTCCTTATTGTTATGGGTAACTTGTTTTTTCTGGTTTTGGGAGTTGTTAATGGTTTGATGACCCTTTTGACTTCAAGTAAAAATATGTTGTAATGGTCTTCTACAGTATTGCATCCAGTGAATAGAAATTGCCAATCAAGGGGTGAGAGATCGTTATTTATAAGATCATAATTGCCTTTTTTGAAGTTATAATTCAGGATTCCATCGTTGTGATGATTTTTGTGCGGACGTATGTTGAGACAAAAGTCAATCATGTTGTGGTCACTGTTGGAAAAGGGTTCTTTAATTTGTATTCCGTAAGTTGAATTCAAACTATTGCAGAAGATGAGATCGAGGCAGTTGTTAAGCCTAGTATTGTTGGTTATTAGTTGTTCTAGTCGCAGATTTGTTACAGCATTGTAGAAGGTTGCATGTGTGGGTTCAGTTGTACATTCGTTAAGGGTCCAGTTAATATGAGGTAGGTTGAACTCACCAAGAAAGATAAAAGCGTGTGGGCACGATGCTGCCCATGTTAGTAGTGTATTTAGCTTGTTTGCATGTTCGATGTCATAATCAGGGGCTCTGTAACATAGTAAGAACCGAAATGTGATATTTAAGGACAGTTCACAGACGATGGTCTCAGGAATAGCAAACTCCTGGGTAACTTGGATGTTTTTTAGATGTAGGGACTTTTTATAGAAGATAGCAACACCACCTCCTCTACGGATTTCACGATCAGATTGGTAAACATGATAGTCTATTACTGTGGTAATGGAGTCAGGGAGAGATGCGTTGAGCCATGAATTAAGCATGTGTAGTCTAACACAGAGAGGCGCTAATGTGACATGATGGCAGGTCTTCCAATATTTGAGGTGGGCATCAACCTATTTCCCCAAAGCACCTGTGACTAGGACAAGAAATGATGAATGAAGGTTATCAAAGAGAGGTCCAAACCAAAATTAAGGAGAAATTTCCTAACAGTGAGAATAATTAATTAATGAAATTGCTTGCCTCCAGAAGTTGTAGGTGCTCCATCACTGGAGGATTTCAAGAAGAGACTGACCAGCCGTTTGTCCGGAATGGTATAGATCCCCTCCTTGAATAGGGATTGGATTAGAAGACCTTCAAGGTCTCTTCCAACTCTGTTATTCTGTAATGCTCAGTTAGCAACATCTGACAGCTGGAGAGCATGACCTGAAAGTGCCAATAATCCCCTGCTTGTCAGGCTTCTTAAAGCATCAGACTGCTCATTGTAATAAGAAACCGGATTAGGGAGCCCTTTACAATTATACAGAATCATTTTATTAGGACGCTAGTCCTAATTTTCCATTCTGCTTCTTTTCCTGAAATTGCAGACCTTTGAGCTAAAGGTTCAATGCCCCATCTGTGCATACACAGGGTCTATTTAATGAGCCAGATTTTGTTCGAAGGGGCAATGTAAAATATGTGTTCGTCCTACAGCAAATGATCTGGATCAGAGGTCTCCAAACTTGGCAACTTTAAAACTTGTGGTCTTGAACTCCCAGAATTCAGCATAGCTGGCTGGAGAATTCTGGGAGTTGAAGTCCACAAGTCTTAAAGTTGCCAAGTTTGGGGGCCCCTGATCTGGACAGTTCAGACGATCTTTTCTTCAACTGACATCTTACAGAAACTACCAGGTAGCAATAAATTTCACTGCCCATAAAAATATTTTTCCTTGCAAAAATAAATTCATAATTATCGAACAGGTTAAGTTTTTATATCAGACGTGCCTCTTGAAACATGAGAATTCTGCATAGGTGATCATTCCAAGTGGCTAGTGAGGCACTTCTCCCCCTAAACAATAAAGGCTGAGCAAAGTGATAACTTGCAATAACTTTTACTGCTCCAACTGAGGTTATCTTGCTTTTTCTCCTTCAACAGGCAGAAGAATTGCCCGAGCCAGGCAGTGTTGAACTTTTTGAATTTCGCTTCAGCGACTTCCCCGTTACAGATCATGACTTAATCAAGTGTGGCATACAAATGTTCTTCCAGTTAAAAGTCATAGAGAAGTTCAAAGTACCACCACAGGTCGGGTTCATTTCGCCTTTTTTCCAGGGTTGGGCTTCAAATTTTTTAGCAAAGGGTTCTCTACCCGGTTGCTGGGTGGGTGTGGCCTAGTCAGCCTCCTGCACCATGGTGGGTGGGATGTTTTTGCCCTCCCTGGGCTCCGGAGGCTTTCCTCAAGTCTCTGGGAGGGTTAAAATGGCCTCCCCGGGCTCCAGAGGCTCTCCAGAGGAAACGGGCCCATTACCGGCCTTCCCAAACTTCCAGGAGGCCCGTTTTTCACCCTCCCCAAGCTTCTGTGTGCACCCTGCATCCAAAATGGGCCGTGTGGGGACTCCTGGGAGGGGTGGGGCAGGGTGGGCGGGGCCAGCCAGGAGTGTGATTAAGGGGGTTCTCCGAACTACACAGAATCTTAGCTAGGAGCTCTCCTGAACCCCTGCAAACTCCAGCAGCCCACCCCTCCTTCCCCCCCCCAATAAAGATGGTTCAGGATGAAATCCATGACATATGATCTTTGCCAATGGATACTGATTTCACAATAGGCCTGCCTGAGGAGAAAATGTACCAGAAAACGCATTCTAGATGTGACATCAAAGGGGCCCATTATGAGATCCCACTGGGTTTCAGAAGGAATTTGGAGTTATTTCTAAGGCTCTGGTGCATGATTCAATGCCCTGTTAGTCACGCTCTGGAATGAGGGGATGTGACAGCCTTACATGGGAACGTGCCTACTGCATGTGGATCTGGAAAAATCCCTAGATTTCAAAGGCATTTGAGGAGATGCTTCTAGAGGCAACTGAACTTTCTGGTTTTCCTTTGAAGATGTTTCGCTTCTCATTCAGAGATGAAGGAGCTTCTTGGATGAGAAGCGAAACGTCTTCAAAAGAAAAACCAGAAAGTCCTATTGAAAAAGCACCTTTGAGACAATCATGACCTGGATGACTGAGAATCTCTGTAGACGTTGGGGGAGACAAAGCGAAAGAGAACCTAGAGTTCTGCAAGACAGAGAACAAGGAGTGAATCCAATTGAGCTTTTATGAAGGGTTATCTTGGCATGATAAGAATGGCAAAATTTAATTATTTCCCCATTCCAATTGTACCTATTGGGGCATGATGGCTCAGCGGTAAAACAAGCTGAGCTTGTCAGCTGGAAAGCTGACCGCCCAGGTTTGAAACCCGAGCACCGTACAACAGGTTGAGCTCCTGTTCCTGCCCCAGTCCCTGCCGACTTAGCAGTTTGAAAGTGTGCAAATGTGAGTAGATAAATAGGTACCACTTCGGTGGGAAAGTAACAATGTTCTGTGCGCCTTTGGTGCATAGCCATGCTGGCCACATGGCCTTGGAAAATATCTGGACAACACTGGCTCACTTGGCCAAGAAAAGGAGATGACCATCGCACCCTGGAGTCAGACATGACTGGACAAGGGAAACCATTATCTTTTATTGTATCCACAGAATGCCAGTTGGTTGTCCTGTTTAGGGATCATATTAGCTTATGCTGTTTGACAAGATCAGGATGGGATAGTGCATCTATTTTGTCCCTTCTTGATTTCTCAGTGGCCTTCAATGCCATCAGTTTGGGTATCCTTCTTGGCTGACTTCAGGGATTGGAAATAAGGGCATGGCCTTCTCTTCTTCCTTTCTAGGACAAGTTCCAGTTGTTGTTGGTAGGAGGGGAGAAATTTAGCCTTAGATTCCTATTTTATAAACTCCCGCGTGGTTCTGCGCATTCTCCCCTCCTATTTAATATTCACATGAATCCACTGGGTGATATCATCTATTGGCATGAGGTTAAGTACCATCGGTATGCAGAGGATACTCTGCTGTACATTTCTGCTCAAGTGATGCTGCACAAGTGATGCCATCAAGGCTCTTATTATTATTTGGAGACGGTGATCTCATCCTAGCAAGTCTAAGGCTGCATGCTGGATAAAGTGCCCCCAGGATCTGAGGGACTTTCCAAGTTAAATTTTGGATGGTGTAACACACACCCAGACAGAATTGATATATAATTTTGGGACTTCTCTTGAGCTCTTGTCTCCTGTTCAAACAACAACTGGCAGCATGATCAGGGGACTCTAGCACAAATCCATCTTTCCTCTATAACTGGATTGGGATGTGGCCATGACCTTGGGGGACAAAAGGGAGAGCTGCAAACTAGGTAACAGCCAGATAAGACTAGAGGCAGCTGAATCAGTAGAATGAATGGGGTGCAGCATTGTGCTGTCCAGACAGTATATAGTTAATTGGGATTTGGGAGCTGTCCCCTTAAGGGAATGCCTCTTGGGAAATGTAGTTAATGCATCATGGGAAATGTAGTTCATGTCATGTGGTCACATCTGTAATCCTGATTGGTCACTGAATTGACCCTTGGTTGGATTGGGGGAGTTTGCATTATTCTTGCTTGGACCCCAGGAGCATCGTGCTGCTTTGCTCCAACGTTATGGGATGAAGATAACTGTATTTTCACTGTTCTGTCTTTAAATTGCTGGCTGAATATAAAGACAGTCAGGCAAACTCTACAAAGGCTTCCATACAAAGTTTCTTTATTGGATCACAAGGCATCCTCAAGGTATAACTCACAGTTACGTCGAGATTCATCTAATGTCCAATTCTTTGCATAGTTGACTTCATAGTGTGAAAATACTGTTATCTTCATCCCATAATGTTGGAGCAAAACAGCACGATGCTGCTGGAGTCCAAACAAGAATAAAGGAAACTCCCCCAACCCAACCAAGGGTCAATTCAGTGACCAATCAGGATTACAGATGTGACCATATGACATGAACTACATTTCCCATGATGCATTAACTACATTTCTCAAGAGGCATTCCCTTAAGGGGACAGCTCCCAATTTCCAAATAAATATATACTGTCTGGACAGCACAAGCATATATCACAGAAGGGAGCTTCCTAGGTTTTTTGGACTATGAATGTCAAGATGTACTTTCAGCAGCTCCAGTGGCCTAGAGGTGGAGCTCTTGCCTCACAATCAGGAGGCTGTGAGTTCGGTCCTAGGTAGAGGCTAACAATTGGAACAGATTCTCCTGCTTGAGCAGGGGGGTGGACTAGATGACCTGACCTCCAAGGTCCCTTCCAACTCTGTTATTCTATGAAATTTCTATGAAACTTGCAAGATTCTGTTAATGTAAGCTTAAAATGAAATCAGAGTTAATACTCTTACATGTAACTCTTGCCTGGACTGGACTACCTGGCAAGGCTGACTCAATTTTGTGAAACTGAAAGTATATCTCTCTCACTTGCCTTATCATTTCACTATGACCATTAAAGCTGTTTTCCTATACAATGTTCACAAATACTATACGATGGTAAGAGAATGGAATGTCTCCATTTTTCACAGGTACTCACAAGATGGATGTACACAATCAGAAAAGGATATCGTGACATCACTTACCACAACTGGAGGCATGGATTTAATGTCGGACAGACCATGTTTGCTCTTTTGATGGTATTGGTTGTTTCTTTGGATCTAAGCCTTAGTTTACTTTTCATTATGATGGATGGATACATAGGTAGACTATCTATATAGAGATAGATAGATGATAGATAGATAGATAGATAGATAGATAGATAGATAGATAGATAGATAGATAGATAGATAGACAGATAGACAGATAGACAGATAGACAGATAATAGATAGATATAGATAAAGATAAAAATATATATAAAGATATAGAGATAGATAGATAAATAGATAGATAGATATATGATATGATATGATATGATATGATATGATATGATATGATATGATATGATATGCTGTATAGGGGTAGGTGTACAGTTGATTTAGATACAGATATACTAGATAGAGACAGAGATATACCAGTACATGTACATGTAGATATAAAGAAATGATTTTAAACGTCTCTCTTTTTATAGACCGGTAGGTTAAAGAAATATTATACTGACCTAGAAGCCTTTGCTATGGTATCTGCAGCTTTCTGCCATGATATTGATCATAGAGGAACCAACAACTTATTTCAAATGAAGTGAGTAGTTCATTTCTTTGTATCTTTAATTACTAAATAATGTGTTATTTCATGTCATTATAAAACATTTCATGCTTAAACTAGCATTCTTGCATATACTTGACTGGAAAGAGTATGCAATGCTCTTGTGGGAAGGCCACAAGTCAGTCTAAACAATTCTGTCCAGTTGAACATTCAGAGCCAAACTCAATATGTATTAAGCATGGAAATCCACAGCTGCTGAATGTAGAGTTCTACTTAGCTAATGAAGGAGCTGATAGTCAGGGAGTACAACCCTTACATGACTTTTCTCTTTAAGGTGGAATGGGGATGGTGAGAAAACTTGCTCATCTCCCTCATTCCTCAAAATGGAATATGAAAACCTGCTATACTTCACCCAAGGCTTGGTGCTTTTATTTTGGCCTACTATAATAGTACTATGCCTGCTTTTAAATGTTGTCTTCAAACGTGGGTGAAGCACAGAAACAGCTTTGGCTACCTTCAATTAATAACTTCTACTGTGAGAGAGACACAATGAGTGCTGGACATTGGGGCGAGACTAGATGCTGATCCTCTTTGATCCCCCAGTGGTCTTTGGGACCCTGAGAAGGGGATGTTGTTGGACTGTCCTAGGTGTGTGTGTGTGGAACTTGAGGGTAGCTCCATCCTTACCTGCAGAACTGCCCCAAGGTGTGGCAATAGATTTTTGCTTGGCCCATGTCACTCAATTTGTGGATCCCACTGGGTTCAATTTTCTCCCCTTTGTTATTTGATATCTACATCTGTGCAACCTCAGATCTGGAGTTCAATGTCATCATTATGCTGATGATTCTTAGCTGCATCTCCCCTTTCCACCTGAATGAGAAAAGGTTGTGCAGTTGCCTGACAGTGGTTTGGATGCAATGATGATTGAGGCCCCAGGAACTGAAGCTGAATCCATATCAGAGAAGAGATGGATGGAATTGTGAAGTCAATCTTCTTGGATAAGATCATACTACTTCTGAAGGAACATGGCAAAACTGGGGTGCTCTCCTATTCTTCAATCCATTCACCTGGGTTTCAACTTTCTGGTAGCATCTCCACAGCAACATCCTTACTATATAACTCTTTCCAAAAAGATGCTCAGCTGGGAATCAGATTTTTAAAAAAACCAGTTAGAGATAACATCCACTCAGGAATTTGTGAGTTAACCAGTCCAAAACTGGGTGATTTTTAGGTTATTTTAAGTTTATTTTAAAGAAGGAAGCCACTATTAATTTTCTTGCCACTTTTATTGTGTGTGTATGTGTTTGTGTACACTCATGCATGCGTAATTTTATTCTAAAACTTTAAAAGAATAAAAGCAATGCAAATTCTGAAAGAGAAAAATAACAAAAGCAAAATGATAAGTAAATAAAAAAGGTGGAACGAAAAGAAAAATGGTGATAAAGGAGCAGCCTCTGCTTTGCTTAACAGCAGTCCCATTTATATTTTACCTTATTTCTCTAAGATTGTAATGCAGTTTCCTTCTTTCATAGGTTTTTCTAAACGTCTAATTCTTCAATCACAATCTGGTTTATTTATTCTTAAACTTCTCTGAGTTTCTCTGAAAGTGAGAGAGGTATAAACCATAATCACGATGAAGGTGATAATGATTTTTAAGGAGACTTTTTATTTGTTGAATTCAAAATAACCGAAATGGAAAAAAAACTCGGTATCAAGGTTGTTCTATAATCTGATACATCCGTTACATCTCAGACGTTGCAAATGGTGGAGAACAGACAATGGCTGATTTAACAGTCACAGCTGGCCCAAGAAACTTGTCTCTGGGGTCTCCAGAGAGGATTGCTGAGATCACCTGATCTTTTGCTCTTGTTGAGCTCCAAAGTTCTGGAATCAGAGATTGACTAGCAGGAAGATCTGTTGTTAGGACTTCATTGATAAGAAACAATGAAAAACTCTATATCGGAAGTGGGGAATTTACATGTAAACAAGCTTAATATTAAATAAATACATAGGTGCCATTGGAGGGGTGTAAAGGATCTTTGAAGAATGGGCAAATTGTTTTGCCACGTGAAGACCATCGGAAGTCAAGGGGCAAAATATAAGTCATGAGCTTTGCAGAGCTGAAAGTACCTGTTTTGTTCCTCAAAATCTAACAAATCTAACTTGCTTTTGAGTTAGGTTTCCATGAATGTTAAGAGATAAAATAGGAATGCTAAACAAGGCCTTAATGCAGGGGTGTCAAACTCGATTTCATTGAGGGCCGTGTGTTTGATCTCAGGGGGCCAGGGTGGGCATGGCCAGCTTGACGTCTCTCATGTCGGGGACGCCTGAGGTGGCCCGAGCGCTCTGCCAGTGAAAACGAGCAGAGGCACCATGGGGCGGTCTTTTTTTGTTTCCGGGGTGGCCCCATGGGCCAGATCTAAGCATCCCCCGGCTGGATCTGGGCCCTAGGCCTTGAGTTTGACACCCCTGCCTTAATGTGTCTTTTTTGTCCCTGATCTTCTCAAATAAGGAGATATTCCAGGGACATTCTGGGCATGGAAAAAGAATGTTGCCTATATTTCACAGGTTGTTCTAAAATGTACAAAGATTTGGGGGTGGAGGAACCCTGATATATTCTCAATTCTCTAATGTTTCACCAGGTCAGCAGCTCCATTGGCAAGACTCCATGGCTCCTCCATTTTAGAAAGGCACCATCTAGAGTACAGTAAAACCCTGCTACAAGATGAGGTCCGTGCTTATTTTCATTCATTCATTACATAAAATATTCATTCATTCATTACATAAAATATTCCTATTATCTATAGCCAACCAATAGCATTCCTACATGGAGGAAATGCTATTTTTCTACTTTGGAAGCAATACTGACTTGCAAAAAAAAAAAAAAAAAATCTTTATTCTGCAGAGTTTAAACATCTTCCAAAATCTAAATAAACGCCAGCATGAAAATGTTCTACATATATTTGAAGTTTGCATCATAGCAACTGACTTGGCTCTGTATTTCAAGTAAGTCCTTTACTTCCTATTACAAAACGATAAAGTCTTCTTATGCCCATTAACATTATTGCATTTTGTCCTATTCTAATTTTAAAGAGCCCTTTTATTTTGCTCTTTTGTGGTTTTAATCATTGTCAAAGGCAAGTTAAATGATATAAAACCTAAAACAATTGAATTCATCTGTGACTATGTCAGATTTGAACATTTGCATGTCTACGCCTCATAAAAACGATGGCATTCCAATGTACTTTCTGTAACATTTCTACTTAAAAACCCAATGTAAATACGATACTGAGATTTAATAAGAAACCTCAGCCTGATTCAAGCATCAGGGCACTATGATCCTTAAAATATAGCATGATAAAACATTATTCCTTTCTGCCTTGTCAACTAATCTATTGGCTGGGCTCCTGAAATCTATGAATTACATTCAGTGGCGCCATTCTGTTGATTGACCTGCATCTATCAGGACTTTTTCACATATTTCTCAAACGTGGTTTAAGAGCTTAGGGACCATTGAGAGCAGATTTGGATCGTACACAGGGAACTGGAGGGGAGGAAAGGTGAAAGTTCAAACTCTTCACACAGTACTGGGTGTTGAAGCAGGCCCACAAAAACGGGACATGTGTATTACAATAGTTACTACGTATTTTTCTCAGGAAAAGGACTATGTTTCAAAAAATAGTGGATGTCACTGAAAAAATGGAAGATGAGAATGAAGCAATTAAATACATAACTATGGACCCTACCAAAAAAGAAGTAATCATGTAAGTAGATTTAATGTTTCTCTTCCGGCATCATGGAATTTACTGATTTTTTTAAAAAAAATATCTAAATCTATTGTTTTCATTTAAAGGGCTATGATGATGACCGGCTGTGACCTTTCTGCCATCACTAAACCTTGGGAGGTGCAAAGTAAGGTGGGCACCATAAGAATTAAGCAAAACTCAGAATTTAATGTATGCTCTTCAGTCTATGTGTTTGTATTTGCAAAGCAGTTTAGATATAATGCAACTGAGGAGACATTTGGCATGTTTTTTTTTAAGGAAGCAAAACTCCCTTACAGGTCCTTTCCAGTTCACACCAAAGACCAATCTAGCCCTGAGGTACACCCAGGGGTGGGCTGCTGGGGGTTTGGGACAACCCCTAGTTAAGATTCTGCAGAGTTTGGAGAACCCTGAAGTCCCACTCCTGGCTGGCCCCGCCCACTTGCACAAGTGGTGCTGCACACCTGTACGCACCCTCACCTGCCACTGGTGCAGCCCAGTTTTGAATGGGACGCAGCCTGGTAGTGGGCTTGGGGTTGGAGACCCCTGTTCTAAACGGTTAGTATTTTTTCCATAGGAAAAAATCCTTTTCTCTGTCTTTTTCTACAATATCCTTTTACATGGAGCAATCAAATACACCAAATCTGGCTACATTAAAATATAGATAGAATTGTGTTCCTGGTTACTTCCTTTTATTACTAATGTTTAAGTCAGATTTCCCCTGGTTTTCAGCACTGCATGCAGACCTGATAGTTAGCAAGGCCAAGGTCAATTCCCATGTGCCTCTGTCCACAATATGTACCCCATTTTTTTTTTTAAAAAAAACATGATTAATTTTAAACCAAAAACACATTTAAAAACAATTCAGTCCCATTTTAATTCTGCTTGAAAGCTTTCCTCTGTGGCAGGCTTAAAACATTTTACAGTAAGGATTTTGAGTACCACTGATAATTATTTGTATGTAGTATATAACATTTAATATGCAAGTGTTGGGCTTGGAAGGTTGATCATGTTCAACTCCTCACATAACTGTCCATATCCACCCTACTATATGTTAGATGCGAGAAACTGAGTGTGATGGGCAAACAAATGCATTCATGAATTCATACATGCATTCATATTATATGCATGCATGCATTCATTCATGTTCTATAGCTATCCACCTCAACTAAGTGATTCTGGGCGACTTACAATTCTAAAATTATAAAGCTATTAAAAACATTAAAATAGTAAAAATATCCATAAAATAAATGCATGCTTTAATGGTGGACATGACCAATTACTCTATTCACTGACAACTATTGCAAAAAACATAGCATTAATTATTATCCATTCTTAGGTTGCTTTGATGGTTGCAAGTGAATTTTGGGAGCAAGGCGATCTTGAAAGAACTGTCTTACAGCAACAGCCAATTGTAAGCAGTTTATTATCTTATACAACACGATTTCAATCTTAACAATCCAGTTACATGCCCACTAATTACTTTCTTCAACCCTTTCTAGCCTTTGATGGACAGAGCCAAGAAGGATGAATTACCTAAGCTTCAATGTGGTTTCATTGATTTTGTATGTACCTTTGTGTATAAGGTAAGGGATAATGTCATATCATTCCCTTTTATTATGTATGTTCTTACATAGAAATACAAAATACAAGGTTAAATCTGCACAGAGCTGTTTTTGATGAAAAGACAAGATGTTAATTAAAGCAAGCAAATATATTGTACATATAAGCTCATATGTTTGTGAATGTTGAGTCTCTGAAATATTTCCTACAAGTGTTAATGTATTTTCCAGTCAAGATGTCAAACCACCTGCATTACATTCAGTAAAACCAGAATATGCTTGCATTAAAACAGAAACAGATATTAGGAAAGCATTCCCAATCTTGAAACTTGCATCTTCCTCTTGACTTATAAAGATTTTTCTATGTATAAAATGCTAATCTTCTGCTAATCTACTGTTTTAATGGTAAATATATGGAGCTCTACTATTTCCTTAGGAATTCTCAAGGTTCCATAAAGAAATTACACCTATGTTTGATGGTCTTCAAAACAACCGAGTGGAATGGAAAGCTCTAGGTGATATTTATGACGCGAAGATGAAAGCTCTCGAAGAAGAAAAGAAAAAGCTAGAAGATGATGGCAAGAAAGGTGAGGCATATAGAAATGTGCTGATTCAGGCAATCCATGGATACATACAAACATTTCCGTAACACTGAGAATTTTTGCTGAGTTGGAACTTAAGGTACCAAATGTAGTTTTAATTGATATAATTTCATGGTCTGCAGTACATTCCATCAGTTCTTTGCTGCAACAGATTAACCCAGCTATCCTTAGGGATTAGTGTAAATAATGACAAATCATAATGAGCAAATTCTAAATATCCTAGGAGTCCACTAAATGAAAGAGTTTAAATTGGTTTAGACAGAAGATTCTGGAACAATACGAAGCAATAAAGCAGAAAATCAGCCAAAATTCACAACCCTTCGTTTAAAGTCTGTTCTAGGTTGCAGAGACTTTCTTCGGGGAAGGGAGGGAGGGAAGGAAGGTAGGAAGGAAGGAAGGAAGGAAGGAAGGAAGGAAGGAAGGAAGGAGGGGATGGGGATCCCCAATTTTCAAAATTAATTCTAATGTTGGTAATACTAATGTAAATAAATCAGAAAAGAACTATTTAACATGAAAAAAAATCATAACAAATACAATCTGGTATAATCGGTTCACATCAACTAAGAGAAAAGCTTAAAGCTAAGAGAAAAGTCTATCACTTATGTTCCAAAATATCCATGTGGCATGATGTTTTATACATCTGATAATTAATAATGCATTAATAATGCATGCATATTTATACCTATTTTTTGCATTTTATTAGTCGATGATGCTGGAAATGGAGAATCAGCAGATGTCAAATCAAAAACATGTATAATTTTATAATTCAATGCAAAAGCATTTCTACTATCAAGAAATCTATCAACATCTTCAGTGAGGTCAAGGATTTCTATCAATATAATGGAGCATAAACTGTTCAGTCTTTACTCATCTACTGGTACTAACTAAAAGAATGAAAGTGGAACATTTTCACCAAAGGAAAGTGGAACATTTTAAAGAAATGGATAACTTGAGATTACTTTGTCAAAAGTGATTATGGACTCATTTCTTGGTTGCTGCTGTTCTCAAGTCTTTATTTAATATATTAAATGCTGTGAACTTTCAGGAAACTATAATTTTACACAACTTTCAGTTAATTTCATATGATAAAATTCTATATTGCACAATACAGAGCACTGTAATTGTAGCATTGTAATTATTAATGCACAGAAATAAGTTTTATATTATGTTTAGTTATTTCCCCTGGAATAATTTATGTTCTTATACTTTTACTATTACCAATAAAGTTATAGCTCATTCATTTTGAAAGATCTATTTTCAGCATAAGCTTATGGCTAGAAACAGGCTTATTTCAAAAAAAAAAAATCTAAATCTCGCAAAAGGATTCTAATACAGAAAGTGCTCAACTTTCAACCATCATTGAGCCTGGAATTATGGTTGTAAGTCATTGTAGTTATAAGTCAAGGCATCACATCATCAGATCTGATTTTTCAATATATATTTTTTGCAGCAGTTGTTAACAGTGTGATTGTTAAATAAATCCATTTTTCACAATGGACTTTTTTTTTTTTTGCCAAAAACTGGAAGTAATATCACAAACTGACCACAAACATTGCAAATCATGGTTATATGAGTGTGGAAGGCTGTGAACAAGTCATAAAGGTATTTTGGGTGATTTTTCAGTTTAGCCTACAAATGTTGTATTGACTCAGGCAAATGAATTATATCTTTTATAATTATATCTACTGTATATCATTGTCTCTTTGGTAGTAATTACACATTATTTCCACATTAAGGGCGTTTAAAACAATCCAAACGGAAAATTACAAGGTGGAAGTTTTTTAATACTAATTTGTCTTTCCCAAAACTAAAAAGAATGGGAAAACCTGCTAACCCATGAAATTTAAGGCCATGAAATCCAATAATGGATATTTATGTCTCCATATTGATTGAATTCATTACCCAATCTATATGGATGGATCACTTTCAGAGGCAGTTTAAGACAACAGGGCAATGGAGAGATTTTCATTACGATCTGCTCTGTAATAATATAAACCCAATATAAACAAGGTTACAGAAATGATAAGACAAGCATGGTAATACCTAAGAGTTCTCCCATTTTGTTTTTCTATCTTGAAATATAGAACCAGGGGTGGGATTCTACCAGTTTGCACCTATTCTCTAGAACCGGTTGTTAACATTCTAAGCAGTTCAGAGAACCGGCTGTTAGAAGAAATTACTGGCCTAATCCTGTAAGGAAGGCAGGAAGGAAACATTCTGGTGTTGCTTACAGAAACAGCCTCTCCATTAACCCTTATTACATTCTTGGCAGGACTAGACTTCCTGTCTCAGGAACTTCTCTGGAGTGTTTTTTCCCCTCCTTTGCTGGTACTTTGCTTGTATGGAGTGACCATTCAAAGTTACAATGGCACTGAAAAAAGTGACTTATGACCATTTTTCACGCTTACGACTGTTGCAGCATCCCCACAATCATGAGAGGCCAGGCGAGGAGATGCGTGCCTCGATGTGAGTGATATTAGATACAATAGATACAAACTCAAAGTAAACCGCACCAAACTTGATTGCAGGAAATACGACTTCAGAAATAGAGTGGTCAATGTCTGGAATACTCTACCCGACTCTGTAGTTTCTTCCCCAAACCCCAAAAACTTTAACCTTAGACTGTCTACTATTGACCTCACCCCTTTCCTAAGAGGTCTGTAGGGGGCGTGCATAAGCGCACCAACGTGCCTACCGTCCCTGTCCTATTGTTTCTCTTATTCTTTTATTTTTCTTATATGTACCCATTTCATGTATTCACAACTATGTATACATTTATACTTATTATCTTGTAAACAATTGGCAAATCAAATAAATAAATAAAAATAAATAAATAAAAATAAATAAATATTGAGTTGGCCACACCCAGCCAATAACATGACCACCAAGCCATGTCCACCCAGTCACATGACCACCAAGCCACACCCACTGCCTAAGCCATGCCCAACGAACCGGTTGTTAAAAATTTGAATCCCACCCCTGTATAGAACATGCCCTTTAGAATAAAGATGGAAGTATTTCCCCCCTTCACAAAGGACAGCTAAATGTTTCCTGTATATTTTAAAGGCTATGGTGATAACCACATTATAAGTCTGTTCCATTAATTTGTTGCTGTTGTAGTTCTATACTTATTTCATTTGTTCGTTCCTTTATTTCTAAGCTGCCTTATCTAATGATTCTAGGTGGCTGGCACAAGATAACTGTATAATGTAGAACTAAAATGCAGCTGAGACGTAAATGTCTATGTTTTTCTTTAAAAAATATAGATACAAGAGGATATTTGCTTGTACATGATTGAATTAGAGCAGCACGTGCAGATGCAGTGTTTCAATAACTGCATTACAAAATTCTACAAGTTAGCCTTCAAAACAGACAGATGTTTAATAAGGTTTGAATGAACAGCTATTGCAAGCAGCTCCTGTGAAGCTCTTGAGAGACCATTTAGATAGATGTAAAGGGGCTGCCGCTTATTGGATTCGACTGCCATCTTGCAACGTGTCAAAGAATTAACCTTTAAATCCATCTTCTTATGTAAAGAATCCCTCAAAGAAGACTACCTTTCTCTGCCTTTTGAGGACATCCTAGTTTAGCCTTGCTTCACCCTTACTTCTGTGTGCATGATCTGTGAAAAATGCAATTTATTTTAAGTAGCTCTTTGAGAGTCAGTCCTTTTGAGAATCTGGGTGAGGAAACAAAAGTCCACAATGCTACTTTACTTCTTGCAGAGTACATAACAGCACATCAACTGTTTGACAGGGTTTTTCTCTGCCCCTTCTTACCCCAAACAGTATCAAAGAGAAGTTATTCTCAAGTCTATTTCTCACCCTCTCTCCCTTCTTAGGGCTAAAATATCATTTACTGCTTTATTGTTAATCTAAGAGTTCTTCAATAGTCAACCTTATCTGTGGTTTTCTCTGCACGGAGTGAGGTATTTGAACATTCATCCAAGTTCTGCATTATACAATAAGTATGGAGTCAGGTATCTAATTAGATGGCACATTCAACTGTTAGCTTTTGAAGTGATAGTCACCTTCCTTTGAATATCACTGTATGTTCACAGATGTGCCCTAAATTTATTTCAATTGTATTGAGAGCATTTCATCTCACTTCGCTCAAGGTACTGGGACTGTGCAAAGCATTCAAAAGAGGGGCTTCACATCAGCAATAGAGCAAGGAAAGTCTTTGCCACAACTGTCAGCTCCACTTTTGCAGAGGCATCTTCAGTTTGCCATACCTCTCCCGGAAATCACATATTTCCAAGGTTGATGCTGCAGCTGCAGACAGCTGCAAGTTTCCAGGAAAGATGCAGTTGGGTCAAGGAGCTGCAAACAGGGGCTATGCGATTTGCCCCTAGCCTTCGGTGAAGTATCGGTTGGCCTTCAAGACTGAAGTGCTGCCCAGCAGTATTAATCATCCCCCTTTAATGGCAAACTCAGATGGCTGGCTGCCAGTACAATGATAGCTCACACAGAATTGCTGAGAAACCAGAGGAGACAAGGAAAAGAAAGAAGCTTATTCACCTGAGGAAAAGAGAACTGGAAATATGGTGGATACTGGTAAAAAATGGTATTTATAGGCTTATTTACAGATTTTTAAAAAAAGGTTGATGGGACTATGATTGTTTATTTCTATTATTAGGGTACTGGGGGCTAAAACATATTAAGAATAGTTACAGGAACTGGGCATGGCTAGCCTAGTGAAGAGAAGGACCAGGGGAGACATGATAGCGGTCTTCCAATATTTAAGGGGCTGTCACGTGTGTGTGTGTGTGTGCGTGTGTGAAGCTTTTTTCCAAAGCACCTGAAGGCCAGACAAGGAATAATAGATGGAAACTGATCGAGAGATTCAACCTAGAAATAAGGAGAAATTTTATGACAGTGAGAGCAATCAACCAATGGAACAGAAGTTGCCTTCAGAAGTTGTGGGAGCTTCATCACTGGAAGCTTTCAAAAAGAGACTGGACTGCCATCTGTCAGAAATAGTGTAAGGTCTTCTGCTTGGGTAGGGGGTTGGACTAGAACACCTATAAGGTTCTTTTCAACTCTGTTATTATTATTCACAATGTGAAATCATGGAGTTCTTCCCCAAAACCTAGAGTATCATAATGCATCGGCAATGTGCATCTCAAGCTGTGTAATTGACAGAAGGAAAATTTGTCAATTTGCCTATTTAATAAAGGTTATTCAAGACTTTTGATGATACCCACTATGCCAATAACCACCGAGACCATCACAGCTAGTTTTTCCATTTCAATTTTTTTCCATTTCAATTTTTAGTTCTCGGTGCTTTGTGTTCTTGTCTAATTCTCTATTTTCTATTCTACTATCTCCTAGTATTGCCACATCAATTATCCACACTTTCTTCTTTTCAACCAGTTAAATCTGGTTAAGTGACAAGACTTTATTAGTTTGTATTCAGAAATTTCACAATATTTTAATCTGTACATCTATGACTACTTTTTCAACTATATGATCCTACCAATTTTTCATTACTGGCACATGATAATTTTTACAGATATTCCAAATAAATCATGTTGGTGAAGATGTTATATCGTTGTTTATAATTATTCTTCTTAGACAAGCCAAGTATGAGATTTACTGTTTCTTCTGCTTCTTTGCACAATCTGCATGTCAAATCACTTGATGATTTTTCATTTCTGGTTTTGATTGAATTAGTTTAAATAGTTTCATCTTGAGTTGTCAAATTCTAGACGTCTCTTTTATAAACATTCTAACTATAACCCATTGCCAAGTTTTATCTTTATCCATCTTCCCCTTGATCTTTTGTAGAAATTAACCATGTAATGGCATTATTTTTATTTTTATTACATCATTTCAACATTCCATGTTTTGTTTCCTCTACACATTCAATAAGTTCCAATTTTTAATTTGCATCAATGCTTGTTCCTGGCTGTCTTTTACATAATCAGTCAATGAATGCTTTTTCTATGACAATTTATTTGACTTGAAATAAATCTCTGCTCTGCCTCTATTTTTGTGAAAAAGTTATATTATCTACTAGGATGTAATTTATATTCATCAGTTTTCTTGTTACTTTGGTCCCCACCGTCCAGTTCAATTGGTGTCCAGTTAATTATTCCAGCAGTGTTATCACATCACAGCTACGGCCCAGGAATTGATGGCTTTGATGGTGTTTTCACCATTCAATTTTGTCTAGCAGTTTTCTCAATCTTTGCATGCATTCTTTACTATTCACATTTTTAACTTGTCCCTGCTTGATATTATTCAGCTATAAAATGCCCAGATACTTGTAGGTTTCATCCTGTTCCTTGTTAATGGTTTGGTCATTTGGCAATTTCAGTTCCATTTCTATTTATGACTTTACCCCAATTTATTGTTCCTTTTTTTTTAAAAAAAAACAAGTTTTATGGATTTTCAAAACACACAAGTCATCATTATCCATTACATGTTTAAACCTTTTTCCATTATAAATTTAACAAGTCAGATAAACTATAATTCTGTTTTAAACCATTTCCATATAAACATACAAAAACCTCTTATCCAATTTCCCTTTATTTCTCTTCACTCTTATTCAATTTTATTATTATTATTTCATCTACTTCTTTCTGACTTAGTTACCATTATTCTCATTCTATATTTCTACAAGGTTTTATTAATTTTCCCCCCAAAAAAACAACATAATCACACAACACACAAAACATAAAAAAGATCTTTTTGGAAAGTAACTTGGACCCAGGTATCTCTCTTTTCATGGACTTCAATTATATTCAGGCTCATCTTACATATCATTACTTATTTTATTTACCATTCTAAGTCTTCTATATTAACTTCTCCACATATTTCACTTTTCTTGATTCTATCTTAATTAATCATCTTAATTTGAGTCATTATATTTATATCTTTTGTCCATTCTCTATTATACCTTTGTCTCATTCCTTTTAAAAAGAAAGAAATTTCTCCTGAAATCACTAATCAGAGTATGATGCCTTTCTATCTCCCCACTAAATTAATCAAATTAATCTTTAAACTACCCAATCCGATTTTGCTTGGTACATTCTAACTGAATAATACATCTAAAACAATTAAATACATAGTTAAGCAATAGATTTAAATATTAAAAACAAAATACTATAATGAAAGTTTTATAATAACATCAATACCATAATCTTAATAAACTCTTTAATTAAAGTTTAATATTCTAAATCTCCCCTCATATTATATTTTCAAACCAATCATTATTAACATTCCAACATTTTAATCTCTTATCAACTCTCAAGCCATTTAAATTTTCTATTTCTGATACAATACTACAATATCATCTTATGTACCTTGCAAAATCTTTTTGAAGAAATTATACTTATCCTTTATCCCTAAAAAAAATTTCTTTTTTCTCATTTAATTTCAAAACTTTGTAGCTTTTCTCCACCTTTTCCCTTTCTTTCTTCCCCCAACAAACCTTTCTAGCCCCCCTTCTTCTAGCCTCTGCCTTACTGGCTTCCCTTCTCTGTCGTATTCCTCTTCCCTTTTGTTTACCATCCTTATATTGATTTTGCACCTTGTTTTTCCCTTTCTTAAATGTTTTTTTAAATCTTAAGTCCTTTATTTCTCTTCTTTTTCCTCTTCCTTCCCTCTTGGTCGAGTTCTGAGATTTATTAAAGATGGCTTCCCTCTCTTTGTTCTTCTTCTGCTGTCTTCATCTGTTGCAATGTTTGTTGATAATTAATAAGCGCCATTTCTAAAAAAAGGAAGGCTTCTTTCAAACCAGCTTTACCATTTTGTTTTGCTTGCTCATAATCTTTTCTCAGTTCCTCGATAGAAGAAGCCATTATAAATCTTTTCTTTTCTTTTCTCTTACAACAGCCAGAATATTCCAAAGGAAAAATAAGACAATCCCAAAGTTCTCAGTCAGTCCAAACCAAGACAGAGTTCCCACTCTCTCCTCCTGGGGTAGTATCAATTAAAGAAAAAGAAAGTCCAAAACTGTTTCTTAAAATCTTATTGCAATATATTTTAGTCTTTCAATCCTTAAGGCATCTCCTCCAACAAGGTCTTAGCATACAAATATATTTTTTTTAGTCCTCTCTTTTCCCACTCACCGCTTAGAGCCAGTTTTCACCTAAAAAAAATAGGTTTCTTAATGTTCACTTTTTATTCCGTAAAAAAAAGAGGGTAAGCTATCCTTTCAGCACCATTAAACTGCCGCTTTTTTCCTCTTCTCGAAGGTATCATTCAGAAAGTCATACTTTTCAGGAATTTTATTAAATATGTCTTAGAGTCCTAGAAACCAAGAAAGACTTTCTCCTCTCAAGCACTTTCTCCACTTCCTCCTGGGCATTCTTACCCGGCTGCCAGCTTCTTTGTGGCGGCCATTACGGACTGCCGCTGCACCGTCCTGGGAAAAGGGGGTTCTGCCGGCCGGGGAGGGGGTCTGCAACACCCCCAAACCCTTCTCCGGATCCCCCCTACCTTCAGCTGCCCCTGCAGGGCAGCCTAGCTCCGTACCCGTCTGGGTCGGAGCCCCAAAAACGGCTAGCGCGGCAGGGATCGCGCAGCTTTGCAAATCCCTGCCGCTCGCGAAGCCGACAAACCGGAAGTGCAATTTATTGTTCCTGTAGTAGATTTATCTAAACCAAATTCCATTTCTACACCTGTGTTAAAAATTCTTACTGTATTTATTAATGACTGGATTTCAATTTCTGGTTTTTCACTAAGCTTCAGATCATCCATAAAAAACAAATGTCTTTTGTCTTTTTAGCTAACATCAGCTTCTCTAAACTGATTCTTTCATCATCGGTAATGTTGAATCTTACTGAAACTCTACAATACATCTGATTATAATTTTAAAACCTTGGCATTACTAAAAAATAAAAACTACTACCCAAAGTTTTAATTTAAACTAACACTTATGGGTCAATGTGAAAGAGATGCAGAGGATAACTCCTATTTCCTATTCAAGTAAAAACATATTTTTTTAAAAACACATATTTTTAAAAAAATATTTTGAACGAAATGTGAAAACCTGCTTTTTATTTACAGATTATGAGGAATATGAAGAAACAAATTTCAGATTTGGAGATCTCATTTCAGAGAAACAAGTCTTGAAAGTATTCATCAAATTCTTCCTCCCTATAAAATAAATACATAACATTGAATAACATTATTGAATCAGAACAAGACTATAGCAGTTTTTATGTATACATCCAGAGAATGCTTTACAGCAAAAGTTCCACATTTTACAGATATACCAGCAAGGGTGTGCTGACAATATTTATCTGACTAGGCAACTCCAGCTTTAGGGGTTTCTCCTTAGGACAAAATGTATTCACTGCAAACTTTCCACTTCTAGTAAGGTAAGGCTAGGTAGTTTAAAGTTAAATAGCGAAGAGTTTGTTCTTTTGAGTTTTCTAGAATTGTGGAGAAGGAAATAAAGGAATCTTACCATAGATCAAACTGAGAATAAGAAACTAATCCATCCAATCTTCCACATACAATGAATAATTATGTATGGTGGCTATAGGGCTCAGTTTTATTTCAGACATTATCAAGCTAAGTGCCTATTTTCCTTCAAAATAGTTTTTTTCTGAAATCTAATCATCTTAGACTGGCCTACTAAATATTTTTTAAAAATTTTATGGCTTTTAAAATAATGATGGAGAACAGCAAAAAATTACAAATCTAAACACATCTGTTATCAAAGTAAAGAAAACACAGTGGGGTTTTTTAAGTAAAAGAATGCAACAAAAGAAAAGAAAAAGATATTATAGGTAAGTTTAGCTATAGTTACACAGTTACAATTCTATATATAATTATTTAATGCTATTCCAGTACTTATGGAGTTCTCAAATATTTTTACTTCTCAAAGATACACACACACACACATTTCACCCAGTCTTATATTTTTTTGCCACCAAAAAAGACACCAGGTCTTATTTTCGGGGAGGTTTTTTTTCCAATGATTCATCTCGCGGCAGTGGCACCGACAGCCCCGCCCAGCAGGAGCCCCAATTCTTCTGTGGCCGCTTGCGTGCATCACCCCCAGTTTCCGTTTTGCTGTCAGAGGCCTTCAGGAAAGGCCTCTGCAGCTGATAACAGAATTCTGGATTGATCCAGAGTTGTTATTGGCTGTAGAGGCCTTTCCTGAAGATGAAATGGAGGCCCAGGGCGACGCACACATCAATCCGGTCCTTGTTTTTCAGCTGCAGAGGCCTTTCCAGAAGGCCTCTGACGGTGAAACGAGTCTGGGGACACCACGTGCATCAATCTGGAACCTGTTTCTTGGCTGAAGAAGCCTTTCCTAAAGGCCTCTGACAGCAAAACGGAGGCCGGGGCGATGCGCACAAGCAACGGCAAGCAGTCGCAGAAGAAGTGGGTCGGCAAGGCAAGTCAGGTACAAGGCCTGGCTGCAACTGTCTGAAGGTAAGTAATAGGGCAGCTCCACCACCCCCATCCCTCCCTAGCTTAATTTTTACCCATGGGCCTCACTCCACCCTGTGCATCCCGGAGTGGGTCTTAACTGGGGCTTATTTGGGGAGAGGTAAGGGCTTATATTGGGCAAATGTATAAAAATCAAGCTAGGGCTTACTTTCGGGGTAGGTTGTATTTTCAGGAAAACACGGTACACACGCATACACTATATATATATATATATATATATACACACACATATATGTTTTCTTAAGTTTTCGCGGGTACTTACATGTATATATACACATATATATATATATATATATATATTACATGTATATATACACATATATATACACACACATATATATATATATACATACATACATACATACATACATACATACATACAGTACCTATATACTATATGTCTCTGTGTGCATAAAAAATAAAAAAACAATGCTTTTGCTTCTTAATTAAAATTCTTTTTCTGTTTAGATAAACTTTTAAGGAAGGTCCCAGGACAGACCTTGTTTTTTCATCAACATCCTGTGGTGGACCCCTCCAGAAATCTGCCTCAGAAGGACCATCTTCCTGATCATCATCATCTGAGTCTGTTAAACAAGATAACAATGTTTAAAATAAAATGATTTTAAGATCATTTTCACATTTTGAGCTAGACTTCTTTAACACTTTTTTTAAAAACATACAATAAAATGGGGAATAATCCATATCTAATTTAGTTAAGCAGATAGTCCTGATCACTATCCACTGGAATTATCATTTTTAGCAGTAACAACATAAAAAACATGTTCATAGATATACCCATATTTTTTGCCCTATATTAAGAAGGGATTTGTGAAGTGGTAAAAGATACATATTATAAACACAGACCATGAATTCTAGTCCCTCTTCTGGCACAAAGTCAGCTGGGTGACCTTGGGCCAGTCACAACCTCTCAACCTCAGGAAGGAGGGAATGGCAAACCACTTCTGTAATGGTTGCCAAGAAAACTGCAGGAACTCACCATATAGCCACCAGGAGGTAAGGCTAGCTTGAAGACACCCATGCACAAACTCACAGTTTATACTGTAGTGTTGTGGCTTTACCACATTTTGAACGATATCTCTCATACTCCATTTGACCAAACTAGCCCTTTATAGTAAAGGTAAGTCTTCAGGTAAGATTTTCTGGACAGAACTGATCTCATTAAAACTAATACAAGTTTAAATATATACATTTGTGTCCTTGTCTCCAAATAATGTGTAACTTTAATATACTGTATATCAGCCTTTTATTTACTTAAGAGGCCCACATTTCAGGTAACCATCTGCTTTAGAAAGTCATTTTCATTTCAGATGTTTGTTATACAGCAAAAGGGAGCTGCATTTTAAGGTATTCAAGATGAAACCTTGATGAATTTCTTTGGATCTCTGAAGTCTGCCTCCTAATTAGATTCTATAGCAATACATTTGTTCCTTCTATGATGTTTTTCTCCAGATAATCAGTTCCTTTTTTTTCCTGTTTTGCATATTTAGTTGATTCTACAAGGGTTTTTTTACTGAATAGAAATGATTTCCTACATTTTTTAAATACTAACCATCAGTTTTGTTTGATTCTTCCAATGATGCTGGACCTAAAAAAAAATCATTTCAGAAATAATTAGTTTACATTTGTGTTCCATCAAGTGCACCTCAATTGATAATAACAATAGAGCCCGGAATTTCAGTCATAAATCATTGCAGTCTTAAACTGAGGTACAGCTTGAGCGGATTTGATTTTACAACTGTTTCTATGATGGTCAAAAAGCAAGTCATCATGACTGTTAAGCAAATATGCAGTTGTTAAGCAAATCCAGTATATCCAATGGGAGTTTTTTTAACTTGTAAATGTGAGCTGGTTTCCAAGTGCTTGAAATGCAATCACGTACCGGGGTGGGTGGGTTGGGGGCGCAGAAGTCATAACTCTGAGGATGGGTCGTAAGTAATTCTTTTGACGTCCATCATAACTCTGAATGTTCATTAAGCAACCAGTTGTAAGTCAAGGACTACCTGTATTGTCTTATATCTAAATTTAAATTGTAACCTCACAGAATCAGATATTCCCATTTTAAAATGCCCCTGTTATTTAGTTAATTCTAAGCCTAAAAGTAACCTTACATCTTGAAGTTTTCTTTTTACCTTCATGGATCTTTTTTTTCTTTGCCTTGTGTCCATGTGGTGAAGTTGCTCTTGACTTTTTACCACTTAAAATTTTGGAGCTTTGTTCTTTGTTGTCTTGATTCTTTCCTGATTTCACCTCCCTTTTCCTTTATAAAGAAGAAATAAATAACATGTCCATGCAGCTTCAAAAATGTATAAACATGGGTTAGAACTATAATAGTTTAAATACATATTTGCATGTAATAAATCAATCTTTTATAGGTAACTTAAATATGAAATATGACCAGACTTTGTCTCTAGCCTGCCCAAAATTAGAATAAGGAATATACACTTTTCTCTGCTTTTGTATTACAGATAAATGTGATCTCATCTTTCTGCTTCCAAAAAATATCTGATTTCAATTGAACTGAAATATGCCACGTTGATTCTAAAGCAGAATTTACTCAATTTTAACCTCAAAAATGTCTGGAAATGCTAGCATTTAGTCCTCTGGATAGAAAATAGGGCCCTGGTTTTTATCAATCTAATACCACCTTGGGAAAAAAAAGTCTGCCTACTTACTAACCACCAAGACAATTGTCCTTATACAATTAGAGGCTATATACATGCAGGCAAATTTGTGCACTTCTGTATTTCTATTTCATGAGCAAGCAACGGTTGCGTATACACAGTTTCTCTGACAAATTGGTATTAAAGATACTAATTTGCTTCTTAAAACGTGGATGAATGGTGTTACCAATCAAGTAATAAGGCAATACAAATAACAGTTCTGTTTATCTTTCAAGTAAATTCTCTACAGGGGTGTCAAACTCGCGCCAACATGTTGTTGTCACGTGACGTATCAGAACTTTCCCCCCCCTTCGCTAAATCTGGGATAGGCGTGGCCAGAATATGATGCATCTGGCCTGCAACCCGCGAATTTGACACCCCTACTCTACTAGTTTCCCTTAAATTATGCAGCAATAATAAATAGGTTGGCAATACAAAACAGGATGTGGTGGAGGGTGGGCCAGAGTCACAGAAGGAAGGGACTCAGAGGGCCAAGAGACAAAGAAGCTTGAAATTTCTGGGAGGCAGGAAGAGGACAGAGGACTCCCCCTAGCAGTTCCAGGGTATATCTAATCATTATATCTATATCTGCACATAAGCTCTTTAGTCTGGCATGATTTCTGTAGGTGTAAGGAAATTATTCTGAAGTAACTCTTCGTGTTGTTCTTGGCTCCTTGGACTCCTTGGCTTAGCTAATTTGGTGATTTACAACTGTGAGGGTGAAGCTTGTGGGTTGGTTTCCAACATTTCATTACTAGGCTAAATAACATCTTCAGCAGAGTTTAGGGGATGTCAGTGTTCTTATGTTTATAAGGGATTCGGGTGTGGGTGTGCCAAGTGAGGGTCTTGTGATGAGCCAAGTGGGAGTCGTCAGTAAGAGTTGTATCGGGTCTTGTGATAAGAGAGGTTACAACAGGTCAGAGTCATTGGGAAGTGAACTGCTGGCGGGGGGGAAAGTTGTGTGGGTTGGTCGAGGGCTGGTGCTGTCTGTGGTTAGCTGTGAGGTTGAGTTGGATTCTGAGGGGTTCATAGGTCAATGTGTCTGTTGATAGAATGGCTTGTGGGGTGCCAGGCTTTGATGAACTCACGACTGTGGCGGGTGGTTTTACAACTATGTTAAGAGTACACTTCTTTTACTCATACTAGCTAGGATTATGAAAGTTGAACCAAACACATTTGGAAACATATTTTAAATAGTAAATGATTACAGTAATAACAACAAAAGGCCAGGCTGCTGGGAACTGTTCCTATAACTACGTTCCTATAACTGTTCATATAACTATGCTATAACTATAACTAATACGACATCCTAGGTTTTTCTAAAGGACTAAATGCACATGAAGGCCAAGACCAGCTAAAAATTTAGCAGGTATGATTTCACATTGTTGTATATATTATAATAATAATATCAAGATCTGAAAACCAAAGGTTAAAAAGATTATGGCATAAACCAGCAGTAGTGGTCCCAATGGTAAGTAATATATGCCTTGGGTGCAATCCCATTGGTAAACATCGGCATTGATAAAATCACTACTGGTCAATTGCAAAAGGCAGCTTTACTTGCAACCTGAAACAATCCCTCACATCAGATAATACCATCAAACAACAACATCTCCTTATTCCAGGTCCTTGGGAAGCACTTGATAGATAGATCAAAATGCCAAATCCAATCAAAACATCTGGCTGACTGTGTGACAAGCCATAATAATAATAATGCATTGAAAGGTGCATTACCTGTGATGAAAATTTAATTTGAAAGAGCATTCTGGACAGAGTCCTTTAAAAAAAAAAGGAACATATTTTATTTATATGCACACATAGAGACACACACATAAATTGGAAACCACCTATAAATAGAAGGGATACCAATAACTATCATTAAATGCATATGTAATTAAAAATTAATATGATTTTGAGAGCCTATTCAATATAGTAGTTAACAGCAGTGGCACAGAAACCGGGAAACCGAGATTTAGTCCTGCCTTGGACACAAAACCACCTGAGTGACATTGGGCCAGTCTCTCTCATTCAGCCCTAGGAAGCACACAAGAGCAAACCTGGTCAAGAAAATTTCATTGGCTTGTCCAGCATGTTGTCAGGAGCCAACACTGACTTGTGGCTCACTAGGTTAGGATGCTGAACTATCAACAGGTTCGCGTTCGAGACTCAGTTGCTGCCGCAGGAGAAGGTGAGCTCCCATCACATTCTCCAGCTGACCCAACAGTTTGAAAGTAGGCAACTGTGAGTAGATAGATGGATACCACTTTGGTGGGCAATTTAACGGAGACATCAAAAGAGGCCAACTGGGCGACCCAGGGCAACCATTCAATCCTTTCAACCCAGAAGCACTTTGGTGCTCTCAACAAGAACGTAGTAGTAACCCTAATTTGAAGGCACATATACACACATATAAATGCTATTTTTATGCTTCAAGGATTGCCATGTATAAATTTTCACTTTGCATTTCTTGGGTTACCTTTCGTCAGAATGTTTGTGTATCTGCTTGGATTATGTGGTGGCTGAAAGTCAGCTGGCTAATTAACCTTCCTGATGCCGTTCATTCTCAAAACTCTCCCACCGATCAGGAAAACGTAGCAGTTTGAGCCACATGCGGGGTGCAACTAATGCACCCAGAAATTAACTGTCAATCTATCATGGATTGTAAGTGAACCTAACTGCACTTTCTTTTGGATATGTTGTAGTTAAATTTCCCTTCACCTATATTTTTAAAATACCTAATGTTATTTTTCTACAAATTTAAGATTAAGACATTAAGAATTCTTTATTGGCCAAGTGTGATTGGACACACAAGGAATTTGTCTTGGTGCATATGCTCTCAGTGTACATAAAAGAAAAGATACATTCATCAAGAGCAGAGGTGGTATTCAGCCGCTTCTGACCAGTTCTGGAGAACCGGTAATGGAAATTTTGAGTAGTTCGGAGAACCAGAAAATACCACCTCTGACTGGACATTTTACACTATCCTTCCCCTGCCATGTCCACCAAGCCACACCCACAGAACTAGTAGTAAAAACATTTGAATCCCACCACTGGTTAAGAGTCAAGAATCATAAGGTACAACACTTAGTAATAGTCATAGGGTACAATAAGCAATCAAATCATACTAGGAAACAGTCAATCTCCATTGAAAAGGAGATAAGTATTGATTATATGACGGACTTACTTAATTTAACAAGTGCGTTTTTCTTTTGCCCATGTTCAGTATAGCCAAAATTCACCTCCCAGCTCTTTAAGCCTTCTTTTTCATCACAATGTTTGCTTCCACAAGAAAAATGCCCTGGAGAGAAATTGAACAGAACATTAAATTACCAAGATTGTAAGAATTGCTACATGATACAATATTTACAAGTAAATAACTTGCTGAAATGTCCATTTGAAAGGTCTTATATTTAAGGATATTATTTAAGGATATTGTATTTATTAAATGCTACAAAGCATTAACAATGGAGAAAAAATTACCATATTGATTCACTCATATGCAGACACTTTAGTCTGATCTTTTTGGTATTTTGCATAGATGGGAAAAGGAAAAACAGAATTAGATAGAAATAAAAAGCATTAAATTATTTACAGTCAGTGATAAAAAATGGGGATGAGCCTGCTTCACAGTTGTTTCTGGATAGCTTCCGGCACTATAAATAAGAATACTTTGTCAATTCATTTAACTTCTTCACCTTAACACATTTTTATCTGTTGTTCCAAGGTTGTTGGAATTTCTGTGAGACAGGTACTTTATACAAAACAAGTCTTGTCTGGAACTGGAAGCACTTAAATTCTCCATAATTATTTGCTTAGGGAAACATAATTGCCATAATTGTAACTTACCATGTAGTTTATCAGAAATTAGCATATTGAAACAATACACAAAATAACTTAGCATTCTATCTGCAGGAACAGGCACTTATGACCATGATCCAGATCAATACTTCTCAGCCAGCTGGATGTAGGAATAAAGAAATAATCTAAGTCACGGATGTCCAAACTTGGTTTAAGACCGGTGGGCTTCAACTCCCAGAATTCCCCAACCAGCATAGTCGGCGGGGAAATTCTGGGAGTTGAAGTCCACTGGTCTTAAAGTTACCAAGGTTGGACATCCCTTGATCTAAGTCAGGGGTCTCCAACCTTGGCAACTTTAAGACTTGTGGACTTCAACTCCCAGAATTCCTCAGCCAGCAAAGCTGGCTGAGGAATTCTGGGAGTTG